AGTAAAAAATGCAATACACTGTACATATTGTTAGATACCCAAGAGATTGTCAGTATTACATTGTGACCCCAAAATAAATGTAGTAATCAAGATTAACAACGAGTACGTTTGTAAGGAAGAACAGGATAGATAAATTGAACTAAGGCCAAAAAATCTTTTGTACTGGTATAAAATACATATTATTTAAGCTAAATTAAAGCTTATTTGAAGCCCCTTAATGCATGGAGTCCTTGCTGTAAATGCAACTTTTCCGGCCTTGAGAAGCAACAGTGCTCAATTTTCACACATTGATGCTAGTTTGGTTTGACTTCAATGAAAATCAATAGCAACAGATGTGCTTACTACAACTGTTGGAGTGAATAAAGTGGGTGCAGTTCAGTAGCTCAGGGGCTCTAGTTACTTAGTTAATAATAATAATTGCTTACACTTTTCTGGACACGCCACTCAAAGCACTTTACAGGTAATGGGGACTCCCCTCCACCACCAATGTGCAGCCCCACCTGGATGATGCGACGGCAGCCATAGTGCGCCAGAATGTTCACCTCACATCAGCTATCAGTGGGGAGGAGAGCAGAGTAATGAAGCCAATTCATAGATGGGGATTTTTAGGAGGCCACGATTGGTAAGAGCCAATGGGAAATTTGGCCAGGATGCCGGAGTTGCAACCCTACTCTTTACCAGAAACGCCCAGGGATTTTTAATAACCACAGAGAGTCAGGACCTCGGTTTTGCGTCTCATCCGAAGGACGGCGCCTGTTTACAGTATAGTGTCCCTGTCACTATACTGGGGCATTAGGACCCATGTGGACCGCAGGGTGAGCGCCCCCTGCTAACACCACTTCCAGCAGCAACTGGAAGTTTTTCCCAGGAGGTCTCTCATCCAGGTACTGACCAGGCTCACACCTGCTGAGCTTCAGTGGGTTGCCAGTTGTGAGTTGCAGGGTGATATGGCTGCTGGGTGGTATTGTATGCAAGTATACATACAATGTTACACACAGGGTTTCAGTCGAGATTTACTGTAATGTGCTCTTTTCTTTTGCTTCCTTCATTGAGCCAAGGTCTCCAAACCTTTCTGGCGCAGACTGTAGGATAGCTGCTAAACCACAATCCATGAACAACACTGTTTGCCTAGTATGCCTGTTGATTACCATGCCGTCAGTAATGGCATGGGGTTTTGGAAGTGGCTTCCTTAGAGGGGAGTAAGAAAGGAAGCACACAAACAAAGGAGAAAGGGACAATGCCCAGTAACACCTGGTCTGTTCATTCAATCTGTTCATCAAATCAGCCCTCACTTTTTTAGGTTTTATGTCTGCGTGAGTGGGGGCACTAGAGAAGAGGATTTGGGACAACGATTTTGCAGCACTGTAAGCAGGAGAGGACACAGAGATGAGGGGGGACATGACGGAGAGCAGCAGAGAAAGGTTCAGACATCGTCTTCTTCCCTCCCTGCACTCTTATTGGTTGCAGAGTGACCAGGAAGGGGGGAGAGAAATGGACGACCATGTTCGGGGCTTATGGAACTGAACGCGATGCTATTGGCAACCAACGCAGAGTTTCCCGCCTTTCTTCGGTGTGGCAGTAGGAAGTACACCAGGATGCCCAGACAGGCTGTATTAGTGAGAGTGGTGCTGTTGGACTCTTTTGTTTTTATTCTGGGACCTTTTGTTTTGGGTTACTCGGGACCATAAGATTAATATGTTTGCTTTTGTGTGTGTGTGCCACTTGTGGATGCATTTTTTGTGTTCTTGATTGCTGTTGACAGGGATAACTGATTGCAGTAGAATTGTACAAAATAAAAACTACAATGTAGTCTAACTGCCTTGTGCTGGTCTGGGACTGTGGTGGTGGTTCTGGGGAAACTATGAGCCTGTTGTGAGGAACAGGGTCCTAGAACCCTTAAAATTGCTAGGTGGCATAGTCAGCTAGAGTTCCTGCATGGGGGGGGGGTCACTACACACATGTACTACTTGTTGTGCCTGAGCTGGGACCGGCGCACAGTGTCCCATCGCCACAGGTGACCCTAACATCCGCATGAGCCTTCAGTGTCTGGCCGGTCCCGCGAGGAAGAGGTCAGGCCGCTTGTCCTCTCAATCAGGCAGCCAGTCATCCAATCAATCAGTCAGTCCAATCTGCCTCTTAATCTGGCTATTTTTCCGTTCGATCAGCGATCTGACATTGAGCTCCTTAGAGCCATCGGGCTCTCTGCGTTTCACTCTCCAATCACTACTACCTGACTAGCTCCCGAAGCGCCGATCCTGCAGAGAATCACCTCTCTGGTTTTTCTCCGGAAGTTCTCCACCAGCTGGACCCGCTGGCCCCATTGTTTTTGCCCAAAATCCAGGTAGCCCTCCTCCTATTGGCCTCACTACAATCCAGGCAGCCCGCAGCCAGCTTTCCAGCAGCCCAATATCAAACCCCTTAAATCCAGCCTGCCTGCTCTTCTCTTTTTGCTAAAGCCACTGCAGTCTTGCAGCCTCCTCGGCTACCTGAATTCTCCCAGAGAGGCAGGAAGTCCTGCATTTTGGTTTAAGTCTGTGAGCTCAGCTCAGTACTGCTCAGTAGCGTCTGCGTCATAACGCTGCCCACTCCGTTTTTGCCCTTTCTTCCCAGACCCACTTCCCCATTGTCCCATTGGCTTGTTTTATTCCAACAGAGCTGATGGGATATCATTCACACACAAAGAATTGGGAGGATTACTCTAAGAAGTTAGTGGCAACGCTGACTGGTTATTGATTGGATTAAGAATAATTTCAAATAATGTGTTAGGGCCAGAAACCTAAAAAATAAGAAGAGATTTTTAAAAAAAATTCCTTCAAACCCCCAATATTTTGAAATCTGATTTAAAAAAGCGAAGAACATCGATGCATATTATCAACCGCTAAAAATTATGCTTGCTGATGTCAACAAATAAGTAACGTGACCATTTTCAATGTTGTGTTACGCCACCTCTTCTCCCTGGCCTCAATCAACTGTTCCGCCCTGTAAGCAGCCAGTTGAATGCCCTTGGAAGTATGTGGAATACAAATAAGAAGAGTAATACAATTGGAATAATAATGTACCACTTTCTAAAAACTGTTAAACAACTGCCCCTTTCTACCGCCGCTAATCTCTGTTGCCCATACCATGAAACAGCATTGTCTGTAAATATCCATCAATTTTCCAATCGCTTCATCCAATTCAGGGTTGAGGGGGAGCCAGAGCATATCTCGGCAAGCGATGAGGCACAAGGCAGGATACACCTTGGACGGGACACCTGTCCGTTGCAGGGCACACACACAGACACAAACACATGTGCTCATACCAAGGCCAATTTTCCCAGAAGCCAACTAAACCTCTAGTATATCTCTGAGAGGAAGAATATGGTAGTATGTGGGAGTAAACAAGAGCACCCAGAGGAAACCCATGTGAACACAGAAAGAGCATACAAACAGATAGCACTCCAGGTCCGGAACTGAACCCATTGCCATGAGCCAGCAATGCTACCCACCAAGCCAGGGAGCACAATGTCAGCAGGTTCTCGAGATCTGGTTTTGCCACTTAATTTCTGATCATCTTCCAAAGTATCATTTAGACTCCAGGACATTTATTCTCCTGCTCATAACAGCGGGCATCCGATCTAATACCTGAATAATTCCAAAAGCAGGTATTACATACAGTTTTGGATGCCCGTGTTGAGTTGTTTGTAAAAGTTAAAATATTGGCAGTACTTTGATACAAACGGTTTTCCGTTGACTGCTTTTGTCCTTTAAAGGTGTCAGCGTTTTTGTCATCACGTGACCAGAGTAGCTCGTGCATAAAACGAGCACGATCATAAAAACTATTTTTGGTGTTATTGTTGATCTGGTCCTTAATGTGGCTTCTTACTACTGAGGTGGCAGCTGATAGATGGTAAATGTCCACTGAACTCTCTGCAGCTCTCCGAGATGCGATTAGAATCTTGATTCCGTTACATCACAGATACAGGCCACTTGGAATATCCATTACAGGTAACAGTGGAAGAACTGACATTGTTCCTTCATTTAAATGCTTTTATTGAAGCCCATTACTCCTCTCGACCTTTTTCACTGTGTGTTGCATATAACCAAGTTTAAATTTAAAAGGTTTAAAAAAAAAGACACCAGTCTGCAAAAAGAGCAATAAATAAATACTGTATGCATATTTTGGACTTACTAGTCGTTGAATTTGTCTGGAATGCAAATTAATGGTTTTATTCGCCAGTTTAAATGCATGCTGAATATCAAGAAATTCCTTTTTCTAGATTCTATAACTGAACATTTTGAGAATTATCATTTTAACCCAGAACCACAAAATATGGCTGAGAATTGAATTTTAATTCCTGCCAAGATATGAGGAGTTTTTGGTTTCATCTATAGGCTTTACTGATGGCTGGAACCAAATACATAGGGAGCTTGAGGTGTAAAATATTTTGGCCAAAAGCATCCTCACATCTCAATGTTATGAAAATTTGGTTGTGTAATAGAGTCGAATATTATGTTATTTGGGGCACCATGGTGGCTTAATGGTTAATATTGCTTTCTCGCAATGCTGGGGCCCTGGGATAAGTTATTGGGTGCTGTATGCTATATGGAGTTTTGTATGTTCTCCCCAGGTTTGTGTGGGTTTCTTCCTGGTGCTCTGGTTTCCTCCCACTGTTGAAAGACACGCTGGTAGGTTAATTGGCTTCTAGGAAAATTGGCCTGGGTGTGAGTACTGTATGTGCATGTCTGAGTGTTTCCTGTGATGGTCTGGTGCCCTGTCCAGGCTGTATCCTGTCCTGTGTCTGTGGCTCGCTCCAGCTCCCCTGCAACTCTGAACTGAATGAAGCAGTTGGAAAATGGATGAATGTTACCGTTGGGTCAGACTCTCCAAAGGGACTGCATACTTTTTATGTTTCTATGCAAATGACCTCCAGATTTAGGCTTACAAAAATCCTCACGTAATTAAGCACTATTCACCTTGTCACACTGTGCAGCTGAGGTTAGAAAACAGATCCAACAAAACCTGTTGTATCTGACCTTCAATAAGACCAAAGTTTTGCTGACTTTTCATTTCTGCAAATGTATCAGGTGTAGCTGGAATATTGATGGTCCTAGAATCAGTACAATCACTCAGATTAGGATTCCTGACATCAAGATCCTTTGACTGGAGTCTTTCTTTTTGAGCTGGTGTTCACTCATATCATTTCACATCTCCCCCAGTCTGATACAGAAAAGATAGTGTCTTTTTTTGTTCTTTTTCAGGCTCGGTTTTTTTTAAAAGCCGTGCTTGCTGGTGTATCCAGACACATTCTTTGGTTGTATTATTCCACTTGTACTGAGCTGAGCAGCTTGGATTTTAACCAAACTAGAACGCATGAGCATATACAGTATCACCAGTTAAAGCTTCCCTGCACTGGCTCCCTGTGGATTTCGGAATGAGATTCAAAATTCTGCTGCTCACCCTGAAGGGCTTGAACAGTTTGGCTTCTGACTAAATCAGTACAGTGAACAAATTCTAAACCTAGTAGTTCAAGTAGGTAGCTGCGTCAGCATGCGTAGGCTGCAAAGAAACAAATAAAGGTTTATTCCATGCTGAAAAGAGAAGAAAGTTTCTGCTGTGGAGCCTTCTTCGGGTGTAAGCAATTTTTACGGCTAACAGCTCCTCATCATCTTCCCTTTATAACTAACCTCATCAGATCCCTCAACTCCAAGCTTTACCAGTTCCTCGCCTCAGAGAAGGATAAAAAACATTCATCTTTGACAGAAAAAAACCATCAACACCCCTACTACCTCCACTAATCCTAACCTTGTTGTAACTGCTCAGACCTTTCCATTTCACAGGATGTGCGATCTCTTCTCAGCAAAGGGCTCGGTTTTGTACCAGTCCCCAAGAAGCTGGACATCCCCCAAACCAAAGTTGACTTCAACCATTTTTACCGCAGGATTCGGCTCAGAGCATATTTTGCTGATGACTTCTCTTCACCGGCAACTGACAACAACCCGATTATTGACGCCATTAACAATATCAGTCCTAACCAGAGCTGTTCGACTCCCCCTTCCAGCTGTTTTCCACCAGTCCATTACTTCATTAATCGAAACCTCACACCCGTAGAAGGCTCCACAGCTGAAACGTTGTGTTTCCTTTCCTCTCTTTTAGCATGGAATAAACTTTTACTTGTTCCAAATCCTAAACCTTTATCCCATTTGCTGTTCCCAGTCAAGTCTCCAAACGGTGGGATACCAAATTTTCTGTGCTGTTGATTCAAGACAGTGGGCAGATCACCCAGCCCACATTAAATCTGTCAGTCCTCACTCTCAAGTCCTGTCTTAAAACTCACTTTTATACTATAGCCCTTGATTTTGTTTAATTTCCATTTTTGTCAGGAATTCCTGTCCACAATTGTTTTGATTTAATGCATGGCACTTTGAGATGATGTATGATGAGAGGTATTATATAAACATCAAGGTTATTTTATTAATAGACACATTATGTAAGCTTTGTTATCCATTTGATAATGTTTATCACAAAGAGAAACATAAAAAACAGCAATGTAATGCAACAAAATTAATTATTCCATATTGTTTTACTTACCCAATAGTCCTTATATGAACTAATTAACATAATGGAGCAAAGAGCCCAATAAATAGTGTCATTTAGTCTCCCATGACCACTTCTGCACTCTGCAGGAAGTGAATCTCTGTCTCATCTCATTCTCTTACCATGCTGTGAGTTTCTGAGCGGAAAAGTTAAAAGTGAAATAAAATGAGATCTCATACTCAAAGAAATGCTAAGGACCCAATCACTGCACTGTGTGACAATGGGCATGTCAGCATGTTAAAAAGAAATGTGCCCACTTTCTATAAGGGTGAGCGCCACTGACAAGATTAAGAGAAGGTAGTTGTCGAAAATCTGTGATGCATGAATTTAGGGCTTGAGGAGATTTTCGAGTTTTCACAATAATTCTAGATTTCCCATGCAGAAACCTGTCCACAGAGTTATGTGTGTTTACTAATCACCTCTGTGAACATTATCATACAGGAAGCATGTCAGATGTTTATACAAACCTTTTCATGAAAGGCACTAAATAAAATGTCGTTAGGGAAAGTATACAATTTACAACATTAATTAGAGTTTTCAGCCTATACCAGTTGATCAGTAGTTGGAATAATCATAATTTGTTATTTCATAACTTAGAAATTTCTACAGAAATGACATTTACTGTAATTCTTAGACTGTGACTCTTAGTATTTTGACTGATACCATATTGTTCAAACTGAAAAACAAAATTTTCAACCACTAGCTTTAATTGTCTTCTATTCAAACACTTAAAATAGACAATAGTGCTGGGCTCAGTTCAAACTCACAAATCCTCTAAAATACTGTTGGATGACTTTGTTGTGTCTCTGGGTCAAGACAAGGTGAGATGAATTGCCTATTCTCGTTTTCTAGTTTTGTATTTGTATGTTCTCAACACAGATTATGAAAAATTAGAGGGAAAAAACAACATTTCAGTCTTTTAAACATTGCAAAAAGTAGTTTTTATTTTGAACAAAATTTAAGGAACAAAACAGGTTTTCTGATCGTATTTATCAATAAATATTAAGCATCTATATAAATATAATAAATAAGAAAAAGTGAATACATATAAATAAATACATTTTCATTATTTGGTTTTGATTTAATTTGCTGGTGGTGTCCAGCACCGATAAATATATTTGTTTCCTAGTTAAGTCTGAATAAATCATACATAGTTCATTGGATTTACCAAGTACAAGATGTCAGTATCTAAAACTGACATATGGAGGTAACAGTTAAGTTCAGAGGCCCATTATAATTAAAAGCAGAGAACAATATTTTTAATAATGCTATCAACAGAAATGAGTACTGTAAAAGTTCTCATATGAAACGTTTTCATTCTAATATAGCACTAAGGTAAAGGTGTTTAACTGTTTTGCTGGTTCTAACTATTGAAGTACTCTATTACTGTAAAAAATTAGTTAATAAACGTAAATCACGATAAATGATTTCCAACAACAAAAATCAGTGTCATACTGAGTTTTTGCAAAATTCTTAAAACACTTCTTAACACTATTCTGAAAATGATTGTGTTTAGTTTTAAGTTATATTCCATCTACTGTTTAAAATTTAACCAAGGCAAAGTGAATAGCAGAAGAAAGCAAGTGTGTGCTTAATTGAAGCTTGTCCTTATTGGATAGTTGTGGGCTACAGTTTTGTTGTCAACGCACAATGAAAATGGTGATTTCCTGTTGAAATTAATCTCTCTCCCTTTCTCTTTTTTGCGAAAACATCCCTTTTGAAGATATCTCAGTTTCAGAAGGCATTTCTGTATTGATAAAAGTAATGCATTGTAAAATTGTATCTACCTGGGATAACATATGCGGTGCTGTGCATTGTGTCTTATGGCACGGCAGAGAAGCCGATTCCTGTCCCAGACATCTCTCTGTTCTATCTGGCCTTGATCCAGTCTTGGATATCAGGCACGTTGAGGCTTCTGTCGCTAGCATAAACTCTCTAAGAATCATTCTCAGCTAGGTGCTAAATAAAAGTTCAACAGCACAGAGGCATGGCACATCAAGTTATCCTGCCGAATTGCATGGTTTTAGCCTGTCCAGGTAAATCAGTAAGTCTGAAAGACAGAGACAATATGTCACAGACACCTCTGGATAACATTTTACTGACATACATACAGTAGTGGGTTTTCAGACCAGCTGTAGAAGAACCCTACAAGAATTTGACACTATTCCTTTTTCTAACTTAGCCCCTTGAAACACTTTTGTTCACCCGCAAAAGCAGAGCTGAGTTGAATGGGATGGGACTGGACTATTTTAAGGCCTCCAAGTTATCTGACAAAAGTTGAACCGAGGGGATGACTTCAGTGAGGATGGAGGGTCAAAAGTAGGAATTAAGAGCACGTGTGGTTTGGACTGTGCCCTCTCTTATGTTCTCATGTTCTGGAAGTAGCGTGGGCTGAAGTTTTCTCTGGGTTCCAGAAGCCTCAGGGGATCGTTTGGGTCCACCTCTTCATTGTACGTCGGTCCAAGGCTCTCTCGGGACACAACGTGAGCTTCTCCGTTAAAACCATGCTCTGGGTTGGTGTTGATGGCCCGCGAGTCGGAGGTTTCCCCGTAATAGATATTGCGGGGCTTGAATAAAGCTAAGGGATCTGAAGGGTCGACGTGGTCTGAGTGGCTGATATACTCCAAAGGACCGACATGGCCATTTCTCTTGTCCCTGTGCAACAGGTGTTCCAGTGGGATGGTGTTCTTTTCAGACAGAAACAGGGAATAGGCGGGGAGATTCTGTCCAGGGACAAAAATGTGCTTGACTCCTTCGAGGTTGAGCACCAGATTGTTCTTGCAGGAATAGTACACATCTTGGTTATTTTCCAAAAGCTTGTGGTGAAATAGGCAGTCCTCTTTGTTGCAGATGGTCTAAAATGGACAAAACGATAAAGGGCTGTTAATATTGCCATGAAGACTGCCGGCATTCGGCGAAGGGAACAGAAGACCTTAGGAATTTGGTAAATACAGTTATTATATGACACACATCTCTTCAGTCTGTTTTTTTTAAATTAGCTTGGAAATTGCCTCTAAAAACGGACGATTATTGTCGATTTTGTACTTAAAAAAGGAACGGCATTCAGCGTTACTGTCTACTTTTCTCCATCTTTTGCTCACGAGCTCACAAATCCGTTTCTACATCGCTTGTCTAGACCCCTGTAAGTATTTAAGAGGGAATGGTGGTTGATCTGCCTCATCAATAAAGTTGAGTACTCTTTGACGTGTTTGATGTTTAATGCACAGGCTATTAAGCCTGTTCAAAATGAAAATTTTGTTGTTACAGGTAGGTGAATAATAATAATAAATTATATTAAAAGCATGAGACTTTTACACTTACCGAGGTGAAAGTCTTTCCTTCTGCATCCATACACAGAAAGCGTTTACTTTTCACTCCGAAGATCGCCAAACGGTCTCTTGTTTCCGCCTTGAGTAGCAACACACCTGTTAAAAAAAATAAAGATTAAATCATAGGCTTGCTTTTTCGATCCACGGCCACAACATGACATTAAAAGTACCTGATCTCAAGCGAAAAGGTAATGCTATTCGAAAAAGATGTTTGTGTCCAGGTTTTAAATAAACCTTGTACGAACGTGAAAAGAAAATCATTAAAAAAACAGTTAACTGTGGTTCCCGTGATGTTTTCTACGCACTGTGTTGGTTTGCATCAAACTTTGAAATAAACTGGATTAATAAACTGGAAAGAAAATTATACATACTGAAGGCGTTCTGGGTGGCTGTTTTTCCCACTTGCCCATCCTCATCGATCTCCAGGTAAAAGCTCCTGGTTTCTGAAGACGTCTGCAGGTGCACGTATCTCTTCGGGTTGCCCCAGTTGGAGCTGAGGAGCGGGGATGGATTAGGGAATGAATGCACAATCTTCAAACCCTGCAACACAGCCAGGCACAGCGCAAGGAAACACGAGTGCATGTTCGGGCGAGAGGCTGCGCTCCACATCAGATTCTGTACGGTGTTAGTCTGGACCCAAGGGTTTACTTTGAAGCCGCAAAGGCCTGGTTTGCTTTATCCCGAGCCCGAGGTCGATCTGGTGCTTCCACGTTTTGGTGACTGCTATTTAAAGCCGGGCCGGCGCCCCCCCTTGGTTGCCCGCATCCTTCTCAACCCCCTGCACAGATGTGGAGGTCCCAGTGGGCCAACGGAGAGGAGGAAAGGGGAGGAAGGTTCCGACTGGATTTCATTGCCCAATAGCCCAGCGGTTTCATTGAGCAATCTCTGTTTTACATCACGCTACCGGCGTCTCCCACGCAGACCTTCCTGGCCCTCCGGACTTGCATTGAAAGTTTGTCACTTCTCTCTCCTGAGGAGCCAGGCCCTGTTCAGCGGGCAGAAGCGTGAAGATGGGATCATACACCGATAGCTGATGGTAGAAAGAAAGTGATTCACGTTGTTGTTTGTTTTTTTTAAGAATAAAAACGAACAAAATGTTATAGTGAAATACATACAGTATGTCTTGATGTGCCATTCGGCGAGACTGTTGCTGCATACTGTATGGTGATTTTTATAATTATAATGAAATCAACTGAAACCATTATTATATTAAGATTTTAAATTAAACCTTTCTTACGTACATCCAAATTTCCTTCCGTTCCAATCTTAAGTAAAGTCTTTTTTTAATATTAAAGTTATTAAAGATTTTCAGAATAGTCTTTTTAATTATGGCTAAAAGTGTAACTACTGTACAGCGTTTTAGTATTCATTATTTTTCTCAGGTACTGTTTCTGAAGCAGAATAAACAATCATAGAGACATGTTGACAATTTTGCTATTTCGAAAGGAATAAAATAGGACTCTTTCGAAAGCCAGTTTATGTTTGCCTCCGCTAGAATTTTGATACTACTTTCAAAAAGCATTAGAAAGACGATTAGTTAATTCGGTCTTCATATCGCGGTTTTGATATTAAATGTTAGGCTTTATTTTTGTTTTTAATAACGGATTTTCCTAGGTAAAATACGCCAGCGAAATTAAACCAACAATATGTCTATTAATGATTAAGGGCTTTGAGATATATTGTAACAGGCGCTATATACTGCAAATTCAATCAAGGGTAATTTAATTAATCCATCTTCCAAAAGAGTCCAAATTTGTAATTCAAACTTTGTGCTACTTCTCTGGTTTTTCATAGCTAGCTATGCAGTACCTTACAAAACATGGACCAGAACCCCGAGTAAGCAATGATGGATTAGCACATTAGTTAATAAGAACCCCATATACTGTATGCACGATACACACCTTATACACAACCAAAGCTTTGCCTTGCTATTGATCTGATAATACAAGCAATTGTGTTCTGCCAGAATTTAGCTTAATCCCTAGATAGATGTTGTAATAGTGATGTTGTGGGTTTATAAGAAACCTTTATATTTATGAACTGTCCAGTTTATATCCATGGGTTTAATACCTTTCACCTAGCCGCCACAGAGCGCAGATATCTTGATGCTCTTAGCTTGAGCATGCGGTTATCGGCAAACGAAATAGATTCCGTCTTCTGCTCGGTACATCTTACAGTCTAAGTATAGTCATTCTCTACGTATAGTCATGGCACAGTATAGTCATTCTCTGAGGACACTGTGTACGCCGTTCCGTGTGGTCTTTCGCTATACAGTAAGTCGCCTATGCAAAAAAGACAATATTTCTATGCTACATTGCTCTAAGCTTTGCTATCTGCGCGGGGTTACAGTAGCATGTCCCCTTCGTAATTGCTTGAGTTTCATTCAGGTCCTCGGATTGGTCATGCTGGTGTGTGGTGTGTGCCCAGCGATGGACTGGCGTCCCGTCCACTGTGTAACCGGCCTTGAGCACAATGCTTGCCAGTGTCGCATCCCGTGACCGTGAATTGGATAATCGCTAATTGAAAGCGAGGAGAGATCCTGTACCCAGTTCATATCTTCCACGCGAAGAAGACAAGAGTCAAACCATCACCGCCAATTGTATTAGAGCCAGCATTTGCAACGAGGTTGTCAGTTGGTATGTTTGGAGTTTCTAACAGATTTGAAGACTTAATTCTGTAATTGCATCATTTAAACTAGTATTTTGGGTGGGGGGCTTTAATTCGCTAATTTATTTAATATTTCAAGAGACAGTACTCCAAAGCGGGTGGGAAAAAGAGTGACAGGGCGAAATAAAAATGTGTACTGCTTTATAAACGTATTCTTATACTCATTCTCATCATAGCTCTCTTTTTCAAATCTGTTATAGTCAGAACTGCATACAGTATGGTCGTTGTGTGTACAGTATACGAGCTCCTCAGAAAAAAAACCCCAGCAAATTCAATTTCCTCATTGCAGGCTTCTGCCCGAAGAGGGAGCCATGCCCTTGGTTAGTGACAGCACTGGGCGAACGTCCTCAGAACAGGGGAACGTGCCCTAGACACCTGTAAAAGGAACACATTTAACTACGAGTTTTGCCAGCGTGGATCGGTGTAGTGTATTAGTGGTGTGAAAAATAGACTTTTTAAACGTGAAACTGTTCTAGAAAAAACATAAACTGGAAATGCGGCATTTAAATATTTTGCGTTTCCTATCGGGGATGCCAGAGTCGTTTCGGCATGTGCTCGTGTATGGGAGGGCAGGTTTTTCGCATATGAAGCTAATCTATTTTCCTATTTTTTTAATTTTTTCACAATATTTTATTGAACATTTGCCTTTATTATAGACACATATCACCAAGCAAATGGTAATCCGATTGCAAAATCTTTTACTATTCGTAGATGAACGTCATTCTCAAGTCTTTTATCACTTATTATGATACAGCTGTGTCTGCGGAACTGTCACCGTACGGTAGCTGCTTGAGTGTGTGTGCCGCACTGGTCATTTAGATCTACAATGCTGTATGCAGAAGTTAAACGGAATTTAGACAACAAAAAAGAGAAGACCACAGCATCACCTGACTAAATCCTATTAAAATGAACGGTCTTTTTGTCAGACAAAATTTGGTGTGCCCTTATTTCTTCGAGTAAACAAGATCGCCTCCAGTTTTGCGATTTGTAAATGCATCTTAATTTGACTTCGTTTCTTGTTTTTCTTGACCGATCTATAAGTTTTATTTGTTTAAATTCCCGGCAGGTTTTGGATCTTCTCATATAGAGGAAAAAATACCCGGCTGCTGTGTTCAAGTAATTTGGCTTTAATTGAAAATTATCTAATTAAGATACATCTAGATACGAAGAGGGCTCCACAGCTCTTTATTAAAGCAGAGGACCTAATAACGTTTATGAAAGCCAAACATAAATCGGTTAACCTTATTGAACGGTTTACGCTCGCATTTTTTGCTTGATGCACAACCATTCTTGCATTCTGCCTATATTTACAGCATAATGCTTACAGCGAAGTTTGTGCGCTTATTTGTCACAGGGACATCTTTAGAGCTCTCCTGCAGTACAGGGTACAGAGAGTTAGCAGTGCGGGGAAAACTAGATGAGCTCACTCTGCAAACAACAAAATCTGAGCTTTTACTGTATATCTGATGCAGTCACAGCTTAAACTGGGTTTTGTCATTATGTTCTTTTTCAACCGCACACGTTTACCAGATTTGTCCAAAACCTGAGGGGCATTTTTCTGGGATACCTGACTACAAGAATTGAATTAACTTACTGTATTGCTCTTTACCGTACATAACACACATTGTTAATACTGGTAGTAACAATCCAGTATTTTAGATACAGGATAGTCCTAAAGCATAGTGTCGCTTCACATTACTGTATATTTAGCTTTGTAACTTTCTCCTTGTTGTGTGGTACATAAATGTATTTGAGAACCTTAGCTTTCTACCTCATCATCCTGTTTATAATTTAAATAATGATGATTTATAGACCAAATACGCTACCGAAGTCCGACTACAGAGCCAGACAGGAACAAGAAATTTGGGAAGAAAATGTAGCACAATTTGGTGTGTTACGGCACAATCCCAGGAAATGTAACTTCATTCCTACAGTACATCGAGCTCTTGAGTGAAATTCACAGCTGTTAATTAGAACAAAAAGCTACCAGAATGACCTTTAATGAGCAGATACGCCCCGCTCACCTGTCCCGCAGGTGTGCTTAACAAAATGGCAGCAGGGTGAGTTTTGTGGTTCTTAATTGAGCGTGCTTCCATTTTTATTTTAATTCTTAATTCAATTTCATTTTTTCAGAGTTGCTTCTGTAGCGATTTTGTTTCCTTTGCGGTTTAGGATGCTAAGTACTTCATCCACTCGAGCTTGCTCTCGCATTTTTCAAAGTCTGTAGTAGCGCTGTTTGTTTGGATAGGTTTCTGAATTCTCCAGATGTATGAGGTCTCCAAACATGGTAAAGACTTTTTTAACGCTTTGCGTTTGTTAGGTGTAACATATTGCAAAGGTACTGTATGAGAAAGACCACATTTCTTAAACCATATATCTGTCTTTCTTTGGATAAATATATAGCGCGACCTGGCTTTCTCGCGTGGGAAAGCTGTTTTTCTTATCGGAAAGTTATGCAGTAGCTACTTTAAATTGTTATTCCCACTAAAAGACTGTCTTTTGCTGAAAAACGTTTTAAATGCGTGACTTAATAACGCGTTTGGATTGTTCGGGTTTCTCCCATGCTAAGATACGCGCTGCGGTGTTTCTCCCTATTCTATTCCCCAACCTTTTCGGTGAGAAAAGAAGGCGAAGCAGAAGAACAGGCTCAGTAGGGTTTATTGTCCTTTACTGATTAACAGGTGTGTGTGCAAACAGTGCTGTTGAGTTGAGCGCAGGAGAGAGGACGAACTGTACAATACCAACAGCTAACGGTCCATAAGGTACAGTAGGTGGAGAGAGAGGAAAAAACCTCCTGAGGGGAGAGTAAGGTAGGGAGTGACTATGCATAAAAGGTTACAGGTGAGAGGTCAGAGGTCAGTCCTTGGCAGTCTAGCACCAGGGTCCCTTATATCCCACCTGCCCCTCCCAAGAGACAATTCAAAGTCCCAGAGGTGGACTGGCTGTCTTCTTTGGGGTTGATTGCAATGAGGGCTCTCATTTGGGAGAATCCCTGATATGAGTTCTGTGGTTGGGTACACAGCAACCTGCATGCCCTGTCACCCATACAGAGTGTAGATGAACCTGGGTGACAAGCAGGAGACCAGTGTCAGACTAACAAAGGTTGCGAGGTGGAGAGTAGTGAGAAAATAAGTCAGACAGCTATTCTGCATCCAAGCCTTATAGATGAGCATGAGGAGTTTGAAGTTGGCAGGAAACCTGATAGGAAGCCAGTACAAGGACTCCAGGACAGAAGTAATGTGATCACTTGCACTAGGCCTTTTCAGGATTCTGGCTGCTGAATTCTAGACATTCTGAATTGTGTTCAGAGTGGATATAGACACCTCAGTAATCAATTCTAGAAATGTGTTGACGACTTTGTTAAACAGCTTTTCAGCTCCAGTGAGAGACATAGGCCATAGTCTCGCAATATTTCTGAGGTGGAAGAATGCTTTTTCAATTTCTTTTTACATGTAGGGCAAACGTCAAGTCTGGATCAAGTATCACTTCCAAGTTCTTCATCTTTGAAGATGACCCTGTCTTGTGTTGGCAAAATTATCAACAGTGCGTGATGGTGTATTTAAAAGTGTAATTACATTTTGAAGCTAGTCTATAATGTATGTGATCAGTAATTGAACTTGTCAAGTATGATAACAAATGTTATCATGACCATGCTGTTGTTTGTTATTGTGAAAAGTTCCCTACCACAATGTTGGAGTTATATGACTTATAGGCCACACTGGTACATCAACTGGAATTTCTTGCAAGAAATGATGTGATGGGGATTTCTATCCTTTGAAACATTGACTACAAAGGAGGCTGTGTGGCACTGTTTTTCGGAAACTGCAGCAGCCCCCTTTTAAATTGCTCCAGATTTATTTTGCCAGAAAAAAAAACCCTATCAACAGCTGATTTGGAGACATGACTTCCACCTACCCATTGACTGAAGCCCAACCCACTTCACGCCCTGCCCCCCACCCCTGTAAGGGGGTCAACCTTACAGTTATGCAGTCAATGAAGCAAAGCACCAAACATCCCATCATACAAAACTGCCAAAATGACAGTTGCAAGAGTAACTTGTCAAAAATATCCCAGACATTGACCAAAGGTCAAACAGCATAAAAAAGAAAGGAAAATATATTGTTACAGAGTGATGAAAGGGGGTGTAGGGCAGTGGCCTGGAGTGTATGTTTGCTTTACGCATATAATGGCCAATGTTTCTGTCAGGATGTGTTGTTTTTTACCTGCTTTCTTTTTTAATCAAGGTCTCCAAGCCTTCATGGCACAAACAGTAAGACACTTTCAACAACTTTTAAAGTAAACTCTACATACTTGCAGTGTAAAAGTGTCAAACAGTATAACTCAAATATCCTGTTAAAAGAAAATACAAAATTTAACAGTCAATTCAGTCAGACAGTGATAGTCTTACTTAAGATGTTTAATTAATCAAATACAAAATGTATACCCTTGTTGTTATTTGGTGTTGAAACTTTGGATAGATGACTGTTAAAACAGACTTTGTGGTCTTAACATACTGTAAGATACTAAAATAAATGATGGCTCAGTGTTAGGTACTGGAAGAGAATAACACAAAAATGAACCTGTAAAAAACAAACTTTTATTGTTATTTTAGGAATACATTAGACTGCTGTGCACAGCACATACGTACAAAAATAGAAGGAAAACATTTCATATACATATTTGTTTAGAAACAAATTATCAGATAATTCTGTGTTTCCTACAAATTTACAATAATAACAAATCAGTACTAAGGCAGAAGGTGAGGTATATGTTAACAAAAAAAAGGAAATTTGAGATGGCACTCTTCTTCAGTGCAGGAATACAAAATTCTGAGGAGATATAATGTACAAAGGCTGCTCTTGAGTTTGGTTGCACTCTCCTTTTTACACATACTGTACACACACTCCCTAGTTTTGCAAGTATGCTGTTCAATTGTCAACAAAAAGTCATTAAGTGTGGGACACTTAGTGGATATTAGTGGTGCAGATAAAAGTAACTTAATTAAAGCCAAAGGTTTTATTGAGAATGTCCCCAAATGCATAATAATCCCTTTTTGTCCCCACTCAGCAAGCATTCTGTGGCACCCAGTGGCTGTACTACGTTGCTGCACTTTCAAGCACCTTTTGGAATAACAGTAACACAAACTCTTTATATTGTGTGAAGAGAGAAAGTGTACCACAGAAGCAGGCACAGTTATCATTGTTATCGCTTTCGGGCACAATCACTGCTTTCGAGTCACTGGAACAACGTCAACAACAGAACAAGTTCTTTCAACTTTGAACTTGGATTAACCTGAGTGGCCTTCTAACTTGGGAGTGTCCCTGAAAAACAAGGGAAAGAGATCAACTGGAACACCACAACCCGCCATTACTTTGTTTTGACCTCTCATTTTCCACAGTTCGATAACTCATTAGATGCCCTTCTTTTCACATTCACCACCAATACCCATCAAACAGCCTACAAGAAACAAGTGTTATCAGAGAAGAAAATGAATTTGTGTCTATAATGCCTTGTCCCAAATTACCTCAAGCCATTATGTCTGAACGTGCTTGTAATTCCAACTCAATTATTTAATCACACTAACATCGACTTTCCTGATTACAGTCCACTTTAAAAATTCACCATGACACTTGCACTCTCTAGTGTTATTTATGTAGTTATAAGCCTTACAAAAAAGCCTTTTTTATGCACCTAGCCAAGGAGAAACTTCACCTTTTTGTTTAATTAGTTCACAGTGCAGGGGGATCTCCATGAATGATGTGAAGCAAATCCCTAAAGCCCTCTACCTAATGGGACTTTTTTAAGAAAAAAGCTTGCTCACACAATTCAAGGTAATTTCACATTTTCTACAAAACGATCAAGCAGAATCCAGCAAAGTCTCATGCTAACGGGCTGTAGGGCATTGTAATGAAGCCTTTTACAGGACTTGCTAGCCTTTTCATAAACACCTCTGCAGGCTCTCGAGAGACTTATGAACCCCAAACTACTTTTACATATGAAACAGCCAAATGACAGCAAAATTATCTCAAAAAGGGTGAAAGGTTCTTTCCAAACTTGGAACTCCAATCCACCCGCCTGCGATAACAAAACCCTGATAAACTCCACACTGTCAAAGACATATCCCGCTTACAAATCTTGAGACACACAGAGTAGACCAGCCTGAAAGCTTTTCAATTGCATTTCCTCTGAGTTTGGAACAGATGCAAGAATCAGTATTTCGAGGTGCCCTCAACTGTAACTGTAATCAAGTGTTGCAGTACCCTGCCGAAAGCTTTTAAAATCGGTGGAGGTATGACAGATCAGAATGAGTGTTTTTCTTGTTTTTGACACAAAAGGAGCATAGACAAAGACCAATAAAAAAATTGGAAAATCCGAACAGCCAACGTAGTACCATTATGCTATTTTCAAAGTTATTTTTCTGTTTAAATGTCCAATTAGAGATACAGGATTCAAAACTATTGGGGCGGGGGGAGACGTGACTTTCAGGGGACATCAAAACCATGTCACCAGAAAAGAAATTTGATTCCGTACACATATGAGATTTTATTGCATGTCAGAAAATGTGACATAGTGTGGCCTGCTAATACTTATCTTGTAACGTCCTTCGGTAATTTATTTTCAAGCCACCCCAGGTTTGAACTGAGGGAAATATCTGCTGGGTGTATCTGGGGTGTGTGTGAACTCAGCAGTTATACACTAGTAAGGAAGGTACACCAATGGATACTCTTTTAGCAGCCTTTAGTCTTTTGACAAGCAGGTAAGCATATCCTTCTCACATTCAGCTGAAGGTGCAAGGCTGTCTACAAAACAGCCCCTGAATTCCGTTCGCTCAGTACTTGTAATGCATATAGGCTGTGCACAACAACTGAACCATGAGGGTCTCAGTGTGTTCATGGATGAGTCTTACACAGTGTCGGGGAAAAAGGCTGAAGTTAATCCCTAAGACATAGCAGCGTCTAGTAATGTTATCCCTGCAACCTGAAGAGCTAACCCTTGAGCTGCAAGGAATGGGCAGTGCTTGCGTGAACAGCTCTGACCTTGTACTAAAAATGGTTTAAATGGGGAGCGAAGCACCCCATTACTGCAGGAATTTCAAAGCTCCTGTGAACCGGCCGTTTTTATAGAGACAACCGAGCGGTGAAGTCTTCTCAGGTATTTGGGAAGGAGCCTCCACCCCTGCATGACTAGCATTCTCCTGGGGTTAAACAAACAATGGGCGGTGCATGTGGTGTCCCATAAGTCTCTTCTAGATTAGGCCTTTTTTTTTCCAGTTCCAAAAAAGGACAGCTATTCTGGGCAAAGAACGGCCTTTGCATGCAAGTACAGATAATGCATGTTACACACAGCCCGGTTGTCACTGTCACCGCTTTGTATCGAAATAAGCACTCCCCCTACATAGAGGAGGTTATTATTCCCACAACACATATCCAGGCCTCAGAATTAATGTCAGCCCTTGGCAACAGCTTCTGCATCTGCAGCTAAGCCTGCCGGATAGTGCCGTGTTTCTGAATCTGCTGTTTTATCAGCTTGACATTGTATTGCATACACGTTATCTCAGTGTCATGGCTGCTTCTGTGTCTCTAACCCCTTGAGGGCTTCCTTTTAATGCATTTTTTTTTACAATTCAAGTATTATCAATTCACATTCTTTAAGAAATCACACTGCTTTCCTATACGTTTCAGCACCCGCACAACGACACATCTGCCAGTTCCCTAGTGGCAGGAGTATGAAAGGACCACCGAGAACTGGCAGCAAGTCTGGGATTGACAACCAGACGCACAACTCCCTGACATTGTCTTAAAAAAAAAACAGCTTCCGCAAATTATACTAAATAAGAAGTAAACTGAAAAGCAAAAAAGAAAATGTGTAACAAGTCTCCTTTTTTGCTTGCAGTTCTGAGAAAGAAATGGAACCCAAGTGACAATGTTTGAAAAGGCTATTTGAGAGGTCCGTTTGGATGAAACAGAACGATGTACTTTTCTTAGTGTGTGTATATATATACTGTGGGTGTGGATTTTCAGTCATTGACATATTAAAACTGGTGTTTGGCTTCTTTCATGAAGGTATTGCTCTGCACGAGCAGTCCTGAACAAAAGTACAGCTCTCTCGTGGTGAATCAAAATGATGATTTGGCCAAGATTACCTGAAAGTTCTTCATAGCAGCAGAAGAAATGCGTGGCTGAGTGTCAACCCTATTTCTGACTCTCGCGAGTGTGTTAACAGTGCGTTGGCAAAAATCAAACCAGCCCAGTTAGGGAACAGGATTTCCCCTTAAAACATTGAAGAGAAAACCTTCCAGCCCCCCAGGGGTTAAGCAGCAGAAAAGTCAATGGAAATTCTATTCAGCGCAACTCCATATATCCTTTCCAATTATGAGGTTGCTGTTTGAGGTAATAAAAAGTATCCATTTCACTCCTAAAAGCTAAGTATATTAGTCATCCCAATGACAGGGTTAAGTCTCTACCAGTTATGGCAAGCACCCATATAAACTAAAGAGGTCATTTAAGCCTCTTCCCTGTAATATATAATTATAAGCAGCAATATTTGGCATATACAAGTTCTAATACAAAGTGTACTAACCAAATATACATATAAAAGACAAAATAAATACTATCATAAATACTGCAGTTTTGCAGTCAGTTTGCATGTTAATGTTTACCTGGGAGAATATTCACATGTGCAAAATAATGAGTTACTGTTGGTGCTTTCCTCAGATTCTGGGAAGAAAATGCGTCACAGTTATCGCTGGCGAGACCTTGTTGCCTCTCTTCACCCGTCCGTGTTTGCTAAGTGCTATGTAGGCGCCGCCATAGACTGAGGACTCGTAGGCATTGTAATTATTGGGCAGCAGGATTTCTTTGAACTTGCACTCATCTTGGAAAGTGGCCTGCGTGGAAGAAAATAAAAACGTCAGTGGGAGATGAGCTCTGCCTTTCATAATGAAAAGAGCAGTACGGTGGCGTGTGCATGTTTGTATGTCCAGTGCACTTATTTTTTTTTGCGTAATCGACCCCAGAGATGTCCACTTCTGGTCCTGGAGAATGCCAATTCAATATGTCCTATAACTCCCCCTATATCACTTGTTTCTGTAGTTAGGGAGCACTGTAAGTTAACAGGTTACTTAATCAAAAAATCAAGGTAACTCTGGTCTTTGAGGGATAAAAGACATTCAGATTTCTGTCCTACTACTTCTTAAGTTACTGGAGTTCATCACTTCCTTAGATTAAAATGATTAAATTATTCCAGGTTTTTCCGGTAATTAAGAGTGGACACATTCAAACTGAGTTCCAATTCTCTGTCATGCTGAATAATGTTACCTATCTCAATAATGAGCTGTGAAGTAGTGCTTTAAATTCGTCATGGATGCCCATTTTATTGTATTATTGCCTTTTGTGAATTATGATTTTGTGAAAGTAAACTCAAAGATATCAGATCCAAAAAAAATGAACCTTCATGTACTGTATTTGATTCTAGATTCTAGAGTAGGTTGAACTTGAGTGCATAAATGAATGCCTGTAAAAGATAAGGATGTTTTTATATTGTGTACAAGATTTAAGTAAAATTGAAATGATTGAAAAATCACTTGTTTCAGGACAAAAGTCTTTCTGGGGCTGCTTGGCAAAAAAAATTAACAATGGTGACTGATGGAAAAAGGACTTTAGGTCCTGGAGCAAAATTGTAGAGATTTAATCCTTGTGTAGACATTAAAAATAAATGCATAAACATTATATACAAAATTAATATTCATATATCTTTTCTAGTAACTTCTGTTTGCTCTTATACACACTTTTAACCCTGAGAGCTGGTCCTTCTGCATATGCACATACATGACACACACGTATTATGACTGCCTGAGTGTCATAACAAATGGCAGCTGGTGCCAATCTGTCTTCTGTCACTCTTTCTCTAACAATAAATCTCTCTTTTCTGCTAAAGCTAAAAGTCCAAGCCACCTGTCTGAGTAATGTTATCCGGTTTTAACCCAGGTGACATGCATATCTCCAATTCTCTGTGGCGTTTCTGAAGTACCCTGTCATTGTCACTAACACCACATCTTGATTTTCTCTGAGGCTACGCGTCCTTGCCCTCCAGCAAGTTTATCCCAATCAATTTCCAACATGTAACTTTGCACTACCCCACAGTTTTTCCATTCTTGTACGTACCAATTTCCTTGATATATTGTGACTTCCTTCATTTTTTTCCTTCAGTTTTCATGCTTTACTACACATATCTACTTCCATAGGCTTTATCCCAATTTCACTGTTCTTTACTGTGCTTTTACCATGTAATAAACCAGTTACAGTCTATCTTAGCTACTCAGAATCCTATTAACAAATTTTATCAAATTGTTTTCCAATATCAAATGCTGTGAAGCACAAAGAAGCATAGTGATATAGAGCTGTTATTTTTTATATATCATGTCATCATAGAAAGTCTGAACTGTACGTTTTAGTTTGGTCAATTCCAGATAATCAAAAATAATAAAAGTATCAACTGTACCTTTTACATTATTAATAATTAAATTATCTAAAACATTAAGAAATTGAAATGTCTCATTTATCGAAATCATCAATGAATCAGCCAAATGCATTGAAATAAAAACCTTGGCAGTAGATTTAAGCTACGAGCCACAGCAGTAGTTGTTAATGTTGGTAGTTTTCAATAAATCTTCTTTAAGATCAGTCCATTAAGACTGAACCTATAATATAAGATTAAAAATCTAAAATAAAATGTCAATTAATTTTCAGATAAAACTACATTGGATAACATTTTTCAGCCACTCAGGTTAATGTACAGTAAACAGGTGGACGCTACAATGTATTAAATATTGTACAATTGGTACAAACTAAATTATAATAAAACAATTTTGATATGTTTCATCAAAGAGGGCTGAAGATCTGTATCTTAAAAGTAAAATTTCCCATTCAATGACAACCATTTCTGAACAAAACATTGGAGTCATTGAGTTCAAGGGTCACATAGACAGACTTCAAGCATTGCTCAGAGAGCAGATATGTTAACAAGTCCTCACCATTTTTATTCCCCAGAATTCTAGCAGAAACTAGCCATCGGTTGCAGGATGAGCCACTCATAAATTAACAAATGACTGACTTTTAAGAAAAAGATTGCACTAGACTAACAAACCTATAGTTATGCTTGGCTTCTGGAAGCAAACTGAAAATTCTACAGGGCAGTTTTAGATTAGTTTGTCAATAGTCGTCCAATTCATGCAAGGATTTCACAGTAACAATTCTGTATCTTAACTTCTCACGTATTTATACTTGAAGCAATATTAGGTTTTCCTGATTCTGACAAATTGAATGGAATCATGTTTCGAATATGTAGTCCACATTTTAACTGTACAAATTCCTGTGCTAGCTACAAAATACCCTTGACACTTATTATAATTGTCTTTATTATCACTTTCTTTCATTGCAAACTAGAAAGAAAACAGAGAATTCTAGATTTCTAAACTGCCTTAATTTATAACTGGGAGGCAGTGATTCTAGAGCTGGGTCCCTAGGTTCAATTCCAGACTGGGGATGCTGTCTGTGTGGAGTTTGTATGTTCTCCCTGTGTTCGTGTGGGTTTCCTCCAGGTACTCTGGTTTCCTTGCACAGTCCAGAGATATACTGTAGGTCAATGAACTTCTGGGAACATTGGTCCTGTTGTGAGTTTGCCTTGGGCTTGTTGCTTGTCCAGATAAACTACACATCCACCACGACCCAGTATGGGTTAGAAAATGGATGGATGGAGCTGTCCACTATCGGCTGCTGGTACCACCTTTCTCTTTCTTCCACTTCCTATTATTATGTTATTAACAGAATAATGTTGCCCGGAGTGGAACATATTATGCCCCAAATTTGTTTTTGGTCACTAACATACAGCAGGTCACAATGGCCACATGTACTGTACTGTAAAAGTGTTCCATTTTCTTTCTGCGAGATCATGTTTGGACTGAAAGAGATCATATATACTTACATGTCTGTTACTTAATTATCAATGACACGCCTTTACCAAGAGTGTTAAGGCCTTGTTGCTGTACTGGTGAGAGGTAAAAGACATAAAAAAAGAAAGTAAAAGGGGACAGTGATATGTAAGAAACAGAGTATTTCAGATGATAAAAATGAAGATTACCAGCAAGCTATTCTCCAGTACAGGTCTACTGTAACCTTACAGTGTGTGTGTGAGGGGACTACCTATACAGTCTCACAGAGACTTGCAGCAGTATTAACTTTGACTGGGTACATCAGAGCTGTCTGGGGTCATCGCTTGTGTGCTTAGCAAATTTCTTAGAGAACAGGGGAAGGAAAGTGGGAAAAAATTGTAACAGAAAGCTTATCAGTTCATGTGATTTCTTATCTTGTGACGCTATCCATTCATTCCTGGTGCGGTAAGGGCTGTAGTTATCTTGATATGAGAGCGCATTGTTTATAGCAATCCAGAGAGCACACACACAGGTACAGTTCAGAGAGACAAATGAATATAAGCAGCGTGTCTTTGTAATGTGGGAAACGGCCGAGAGAAAAAAAAAACAGTGACAACATGTGAACTCCACACAGACTGTACCTCGTTTTCAATGCAAACTCAGAACCCAGGAGTTCCCAACAGTAACTCTATCCACCACACTACTGTACGGACCCTTCTGAATTCATGAGCCCATAAATTAGGGTAATATTCATAATTTGTATTGTCCTGAACTTTAGATACATTTTAGTATGGAAAATGTAAATACTGTATTTTACATCTAGCTGTACCTAGATACAGTACCTGTCCATACAAATGATTGTTGGATTCCTTACGCTAAAATGCAAAAATCTCAATTTAGTCCAAAGCTAAGCCTTTAGGTTTTCATTCATTTTTTTTTTACTTTAAAGCTGTGAAGGAGCCACACCCTGACTATTTACATTCATTTTATATATATATATTCATATATTTCATAAACTTTAGAAATAAGATACAGTCTTTATCATACACACTGGATGAGGTGATCTGGGGAGAACAGGTCAACTATTAAGGTTTTTAAAACACCTTCCTCTATTCACTGTGTTCACCTCACTCTTTCATGGTTTCTCAGTTTCTATTCCACCTTACCTGCAGCAAAAACAGTTTTGTGATCCCCTTCTCAGAATTAGAGAAAGACAAAAGGAGAGGGGATGCTAATACACTAGTATGGCATCGGACTAAAGTACTTCAGCTCCTTGACTGACACAAACACAGCTATGCACTGTTTCAGTACCAAAATCTAAACTGTGGCTGAAGGAGTCCACAAAACTACTACCAATCTACACTGCCATGCAGCTGGAGTCCTTGTTATCACATGTAATAGGCTTTGTATTCTAATATTAAGTAACATCTTGTATTGGACCTTGGTAAACTTAAATTTGACTTTTTTCTGGACTTATGAAGCTTATTTTGGTACATCAGAATAAGACATTTGTCTCCATGTAATGTTAAGGGTACAGCAATCCACTTTTAAATTTGAGTTCCCTCACGTATGTTTATGCAAATTAAGCAGGCACATCATAAATAATGAATATCGATTTTTATTTATGCAATATACTTCACTGTATACAAGTCATTTTGCTAAACCTTAGTCAAGAGTTTAAAAAAAAAACTGTGAACACATGGTCAAGTTGTAATGTTTTTCATAAATTTGAATTTTCTTTTTCCCCCCACACAAATTAATTAATATCTTTACCATGCGTATTTCTTTCCTTGAAACTAGATATAATGAAGGTGTTGTTTAAATAAAAACGTATGATTCGTTTATCCCACAGTAGCTCTGCGGTAACTACAGTATGTGACAGCTCAAGGTAGACATGCAGTTTAACACCTACCGTTCCATACAATCTTCCTTTGTTATTCATTGCCACAAAGAGGTCACTTTTCATCCCATACAAGCTAACCACTCCTCGCTCTACAGTTGAGATTTCTAACAGACCTAATTAAACAAAACATCAGATGTTACACATTGCAAAAGAAAGACGAAGCAGTATAATGCAGAGTGACTCACAAAAGTGAGCATGCACTGTGCAGTTAAGGATGTTATAAAGGTAAGGAGTATTGTGATTAATAATCTTGCTACCGGGAGGAAAAAAAAACTACGATTTTTTTTTATCCAAAGGGTTTAATTCCGTTAATGACAAGTTACAGTTTCTGGCGTGCATTATGACGCGTTTCTGGGCCAGTGGAAGGAGGCAGTGTAAAAATAAGTTGGCGTCTAAATTCGTCCAAGCATTCATGTCGTGTTTGAGCCTGGAAAGATATTTAGCACTGATTGATACTGGGTTTTTTAATAGATTTGTCTTTGGTTTAAAAAGACACCCGCGGTCTGCCAGTGGCCCATTTAAATGTCATGCAAATAAGAATACAGGTGCTGCTTATGTCGATAAGTATTAATGAATGCTCATGTTATGCGTTGTCATTTGCATGACATTTCTGGATGCAACTCACTGTACTGGTTTTCATTATGTACACCGTTTATCCTTCCGTCCGGGAGGATCTGAAGGTGAAACCCGATTCCCACGTTGCAGTAGAGCCTCCGCACTCTCTTGATACCCAGCAAATAGTCTCTCTCCCAGTTCAGTTCTGATCTCTCCCCTGAGATCCCAAGAATGGAGCCGGAGGACAGAGTCTCCCATCTTTTGTCCAGTAACGTTCCATCAGTCCTATTTGGAATCGGATATGATGACACAATCCCCACCAGGTGTCCCAGGAGAAGAATCGCAGGCAACGTCCAGTGAGTGTTGGCCTCGTAGGACATACTGATGAGGAGCCTTTGCGCAATGCCCATCCGGTTTACCTTCGGGGCACGTGGTCAGAATTAATGGCCCTAAAAATACCACTCTTCTTGTTTTCCTTCCTTCGGCATGGTGGCAGAGGCTTATTTTTGGAAGGCAGATCAGGGTTTCGGGCATGAAACGATAGCCCGAGCGCAGTGTTGGAGTTGGAAACGGAGAGAGAGCGGCAGAGTTTAAGTTGGTGACGATTACCATGTTTTGAAGCTCCGGTCGGAGAGGATGCCAGGCGTCCGCATCTTTTTTATGACATCACGGTGACTTCTGCGCGGCCCCCCCATCAAAAGTAAAAGTTGCAAGCCAGCAAGAACGGCAGCGCTGATCAGCAATGCCAAGTCTTCTGGGAGTTCGGATGAATGCTGTCAATCCACGTGCGAGAGGACAGAGAGGAGCCTCATTGGATGGCTTTGAGCGATCATGGGACATGATGGGCACTTTGGAAGAGCCCAAATTGGGCCGGTGGTCATATGTCTGACAGGCTGCTTCCTTATTTAGAAAGAAGGTGTAAAAACAGTCCAGTGGTCACCAGAGAGCAATGATAATCCCGTAAGCAACTTCCTGTGCTGTTTATCCAGTAAGTTTACATTAGGATACTTAACATTTTTCGCTTATGAAAAAAAAAGTGTTCAAATAAGAACTTTAGTTAAAATCACTGTCTTGGAATGCGTGGCTTAAAGGTATTTATGGAATGTCACATACACTGCAATATTGTAGAGCTACAATGTGTTTTTTTTTTATAATACCACATTGATAAAGGTGCCTGTTTCTTTGCGCAAGGTGATCCATTGTGCAGTTGACGTGTTGTACTTTGTAGCCCGATTTAAAGTGGTACTATTTCACAGTGTTAATAAAAACCAACCATTGATCCTAGCTCATATACGACTGAAATTAAAACGCGTAGGTGCCGTCATCTCCAACTGATTTTACTTGGGAGAGCTTCTGCTTCCGAGCTAGGGAATACACGTTTTTTTTTCTCCCAAGTGTGGGATGTGGCACTCAAAATAATTCAATCGGTTTTCAATTTAAATTAAGATCAAAAGGCTTCTGTGTATTCCAAAGCAAACACGGACCTGCTCTCATATTAAAATAGCCATCACCAATATACAGCACCGCTTAAATATCCCACAACACGTGGTATAAATGTTAACCTTATGCAGAGGCTGTGTGCAAAGCCAAGCACAGCGTTTGACCAAGTTACCAGAAGCTGTATCTTCTATGTCTGCTCCATTCCGTGATCCGTGAATGTATATTATTATTCAGTGATCCGTGAATATATTCGTCATATACTCTGTGGGAAATATCGGTTAAAAACATGAGGAATAAGAATATACCGTAGAAGACAGGGCTGAGTTACTTCACATTCAATGTCAGATTCCGAAGCCGAATAAGAAATTGACGACATATCAAAATTAAATAGCATTAATTGGAGGCACTGAAACCTAATCACGACATTTTATTCTTTCAGTATGGGTTAAATGGGTTTGGATCTGGTCACACTTGTTGGAAGGGAGTGTAAACGTTTTAGAGAAGGTGTGCATAATACGATATTTCATTGCAATCGTATATCTGTTAAGTTTGTAATACAGACCTCCTTGATTGTATACTTAATATTCTCTCTATATTGTAATGCTGGTGTTTTATTAGAACCGCTGTCTGTATTGGTGTTACCAGTATACAGTAGTACTATTAGTCATTGTATTGTTATTCATGACGTTAGAATCAATAAGAAAACCTTTTTTTTTCCAATGCCATTTAAACTAAGGATTGAATATATTTGAAAATGCTTTTCTCAAGACACGGGGTTGGTATACGTCTTAACTCTTAAACCCCCGGTATATTTAGGTTTGATGGACAGCAAACTCACCTAGAGCAACTTCAGACTTGCATTGTGAAAAGAGATGCTGATACTTTTAGCTGACGTTAGCGTTTTTGAATTACACCTACTGTAAACCTGCGCCTGTCGCGATAGCAGACACCCTAACAATGACTGCACTGTAATGACTTTCGTAGATGTGTACTCGGTTGAAAAATAATCTCACTCAGAGGTGACTGCAAACTATCAAGAATATTTCAATTTAATTTCATGCAGGAGAATGGGTTTGTCATGGTCTTCTGCGAAGTAATTCACGGTTTGGAGAGGTACGGGGAATATGTTGGAAAACACTTGCAGACGATAGCGAGTTACGGCAATAGAGCTATTGTACTACAGTATATTTTCACATACAGTATATAAGTCTGGCTTGGACTACCCTTTGATATGGCAGCTGATTAAATGGGGAGATACTTGGACATTTTGGTTTAAGATTTCTTTAAATTTATTCTATGTTGTCCAACTATAACAATAAAGAAAATAATTGAAAAAAATCTGCTGATTCTGGTTATATAGTAATACTGTATGTGTGGCATACAGAGATCCTAAATGTAATATTAATATTTAAATAGTAATTTAATAGTAGCTAACTCGGTGATTGTTGAAACCTGTTTGTTTCTTAATTTGGATTTTTTGTTCTAAACTGGTTTGTGATTACTCAAGGGTACAGGAGTGCTTAGCCCTATATCATAGAGTAGCCCACCTCAATAAATTAGGAGTTAAGGAATAGTTAATTCAAAAAGCAAAAGGAGAAACATTTACTTCTTAAGATTTGATGGTTTTACACTGTGCAGTTAAAGCTGTAAGGATTTCCACCGCTTGAAGTTATGGAGATTTATCTGTATTTGTAACTCATATCACTTATAAAGTGTACAAGTAAGGCCACATTTAGAATTATGCTCATCACTTATAAAAATATATAAATCTCCTAGAATCCATCCAGAGAAAAGTAACTAGATACATTCCCAGGCTTAAAGCAATATCTTGAAAAGGGAATCCTCACAGACATTGATGAAGCCAAACCAGTGGAAAAATGTGTCAAGTAAGAGCTAGAGAACTCATTTGGAAATGATGTGGAAGTGTATTTGAAACTGAGGACAGGAGGCACAACTTAAGGCACAAGGAGGGATCTGGGAGTAGTTAAACAAGTTGAAGATGATAACCCTGGCTTCTATCAAAACCTGGCTTCAATGAGATCCTTAGATCAATTAGCTATCAAATGAGCAAAATGGCCTCCTCTCTTCTGTAAGCATTCTTATATTCTTACCAGTATCATGGAGGTCACTTTTTGGGGATTTTTTCTGGAAATGCTTCTGGTGTTCAAATTTGAACAAAGTTTATGTAGTACTTACGAAAAGAGTAGGGGTGTAACCCCGGTGTCCCGGCTTCATTACTCTGCTCTCCTCCCCACTGATAGCTGATGTGTGGTGAGCGTTCTGGTGCACTATGGCTGCCGTCGCATCATCCAGGTGGGGCTGCACATTGGTGGTGGTGGTGGTGGAAGGGATCCCCATTACCTGTAAAGCGCTTTGAGTGGAGTGTCCAGAAAAGCGCTATATAAGTGTAAGCAATTATTGTTATTACTACTTCCAATTTAGGTCAGAAAATCAGCAGAGATCTTTTTCTTTTGGCCCACCACAGAATTTATGTCAGGCCAGTGACAGTAACAGTATTGTCCTCGCTGCTATTTTACTGTGCTTTCAAACTGTTTAAAAGTAACAACTTGAGACCTGAATCTGCAGTGAAAGCAATAGTTATTCTTGTAACACTTCGTAATAAGTGAATTTATTCCACATTAAAATTACAATACCCAAGACTCTAAAAGGTCAAATGATCAATTAGTGAGATTTGCAGGCATACTGAAATTTAATATTAAAAATGTTAATTGACTGTGGTAAATAATTAATTACAACTGGATTTTTGTTTTTTATTAGTAACAACGTTCAAGCAATTGAATCAACTAATAGGAGATGTACTGTAGTATTTCAACAGTATTATTTTTTATGGTTAACCCATTTGTTCTGCTCATGAATGCATTGCAGATTTGTTTGAAAATTAAAAATATTAGTTGTAGACTGTCCATCGGTAAATGCTGAAATTGCTTGGCTCTTGAAATATTTTCTTATCTTTTATTACCGATTATTTTTATTTTAGCTAAATGTTTTCGACTAAATGGTCTTGCTTTTTGTTGCATTGGGCGATAATTAATACTGTTGTATTAAGTGAAATGATACGACAAAAAAAAATTAAGTGCCACTGCGCATAACGTGCACATCTCTCCTACTTTGATGCAGACAAGCTTATCAGCTGACTATTCAGGTTTTATAGAACTTAGTGTCACGAGTTTTAACCAAAACCATTATGCATGGGCATTTATTGCCTGTTTTTGCTTCCTTGCTTTGGGTTCCTGTGGATTTCAGAATAAGATTCAAAATACTGATGTATTAGTACTGCATGGATAGAATTTATAAACTGTACATGGACCTATGTAATCGAGTTAGGAATAAGAGGATCTTAAATGAAATGCATAACTAAAAGGGGTTAAACGTTGTTGTTATTATTATTGTAATAGAGAGACATAAATGTGCCAGCACTACCTTTTCTGATCTGCCTTAACTGAACTGGCAAAACATTTTCGCTAGGGGGAGCAGTGGGGTTTTAGAACAATTTAATACATGATGCAAGGACTTGATAGAACTAATTTCTTTCGGAATTGGGTTATGTAGATAAATAGTGACATCGGTTTGGTTGTTTCTTCATACATTCTCTCTATTAGATTCCATTATTTTTATTTTTGCTTTCTGTTTCATTTTTTCTTCTACACTACCGGTCAATTTAAGGTTCAACAGGGCCTTGCAAAAGTATTCAGACCCTTTACCAGCTTCCAAATGTTGCTGGATTGCAAATTATAGTTACACACCATTTTCCAATCAGTTATTGTACACTCACATGCTGAAGCAGAACAATTTTAAAGACAAAATGGGTTATTTGTCTTCAGATATCTTCAAGAAAATCAAACACTGGGAATTGCTGCTTGTATAGGTATTCAGACCCATGTGCTCTGGTAGCTCTAAGTTTAGACAAATGAAAGAAATTGGCCTCCCAAGGACATAACTGCCTTTCAGTTGACCTCTTCCTGTGCACCATTGAAGAGACTGTCACATTTTGCCATAGTTTGCCATAACATTACAGATTGAAAAAATGGTGTGTACGTATCATTTGTGGTCCAGCAGCATCTGAAAACTTTAAAGGGTCCGACTGCTTTTGCAAGGCGCTGTACAAGTGTGAAATATACTGTATTGTGTGAAACATACCTTTATTTTTAATTTAACTTCTGATATGAAAGCAGCTGCTTGCTTTAATAAAACAGCCAAAGGAAATTCTTTGTCTAACAGCAGTTGGTAAATACTCATTAAAGTTAAAAAAAATGTGATGTTTCATATTGTGCAGGTATGAGGCTTCACCATCTGGTTATGGCCCTGCCTTTTACTGATTTCGGTGCCCATGGGTTTTCTTGAAATGTGAGGAAAAGAGCTTCAATGGTCTATTTTTCCATCTGTACTTAAGACTATGCAACACTTGGATTATACACATGCAAATGAAAGATAGAATCCAAATACTAAGAGAAGTCAATACATATTGGAACTAGTGCCTACATTGGTGGTGGTGGAGGGGAGTCCCCATTACCTGTAAAGCGCTTTGAGTGGAGTGTACAGAAAAGCGCTATATAAGTGTAAGCAATTATTATTATAATTATTATGATTACTGCACTAGAAGCTAATAATGATGATACAGGAGTGTCTTAAATGTGCCTCAAGAAGAAGATTGTTTTACTGGTGTTAATCATAAGGATAGGAGAAACTGAAGAGGTGCTATTGTATGTGAAGGAAGTTCTCCGGGCTGTTGATCTTGTAGTGGAAGGACTGAATGGCTGAGTCACGATGGAGAGAAGTTCAGTGAACAAATGATTCAAATCGGGTCATGCAGAGTCCAGGGTGGAAAGAAAACCAGAAGAGACAGCAGTAATTCAGGAGCAGAGGCACATATCAGCGAGCAAACGTTCTGACCATACACCTGTTGGCTTTCATTTCATCCAATTCTACAGTAATTACCAAAGTGAAGCCTTAATTGGACTCACTGGTTGCTTGATAGTATGGTGGCGCAGTAAATCTCAAAACCCTCCTGTGCTATTTCAAAATGTATTTTCAAGAGAACTTAACCATTTATAAAGGGATCAATATGATTTAAGCTGAATAATAAGGGAGAGGGGATTATTGTATTAATGATGATATTACGGGCTATATATTGCTTGAAATTCACTGACTGAAGAGACGTACAGCGGCACGTGTGATTTTTCTTTCATGTTATCTACTTTTGTCTTTTCCCCCGACTAGCTCTGTTGGTAGCGCATGAGACTCATAATCTCAGGGCAGTGGGTTCCTGTCCCACGTCGGGCGCAAGGTGGTCTAATAACCCACACTGGGCAGCAGGAGTTTGGGGGGGGTGGTGTTGGCAGTATCTGTGTGGAAGAACAGCCTGGCAATCTTGCCATGAAAACTCCATTATGGACAGTTCCACCGTCACTATCCATAGAGTCGCTGTGAGCCGATACCGACTCGACGACCACTGCTTTTGTCTTTTTATTTTTTGCTTTGAATGTAGGGAGTAGGTTGTTTATATAACAAATTGCCTCTATAAGCTTTAAAGCAACAAAATGTGAAAGATGTGCAAGGGTTTGAATACACCTGAAAGGCACTGTGCTGTCTATTAATGATTCATTGTTTTCCCCCCTCGTGGGACTTTGTTTACAAAATCCAGTACTATGTTCCAGGTTCCTTTCTCACGCTTTCACATCTTCAGGCTTTTCTCAGATTTCAAGGTTAATATACTGTATATACAGTACTCTGTGTGTGTGTATATATATATATGCAGAGAATACATATGTAAAGAGTAACATGCATTAATGTCTACGGCCAGTTTGGGGTCCGTTTCCCAGCAGGTCGGCAATATATTCTGCCATTTTCTGATTTTCATTAGTATAGTAAGTTGATGGAGTGGTCATAAAATCTTGCAATCACCTAGGAAGAGCTTTGAAACCAAGTATGCTTTTCACTTCAAGATCACATCACACAAAGGTGAAATCAAGAGCAAGTGGGTGTAGCAGCACAGCAAAAGACATTTGCCCCCCACCAATGTTGGGGCACCCCATATTGGAACTGTTCAATACATACAGGACCTTGTGATGATCAAAAAACATTTTAAGATGTATTGCAACGTGGCAAACTGCCACCATAATCGTGTCCCTAGATGTGGTAGTTATAGGCATCTGCAAACAGAGCACAGATGTTACACAGCTGAGACACATCTCATCCTTGACCAGAAGCCTGTAGGTATGATGATGTCAGCTGATCTTGCAACGGGAAAGCAAGCCTGAGAAGTTCAACAACACAATCTGTACAGGATTGGCTTTCATGCCAGATGATGTCATCACAATGTCATGTTATCAAATGTTATTGTATTTCTGTCTATTGTCTTGTCTGCTGTTCTATATACAGTATATACTACATCTGAGAGACTAATGAGGAACACTTTTCACTATAATATGCACCCGTGTAAGTATAATGACAAAGTTGAATTGAATGTTATTGTTATCCAGGGACATCACAGCTTCTAATCGCATAATGCATTTGATATCTTTCTTCTATAATGTAGCCTATATGAGGACCATGTGCACCAAAGTATTGCAAATATACCTTACCTGTAAACAATGGGCAACAGAAGATTGTAGTCAAAAATCAAGTTTGGTTGCTTTTAAAGCGCATTATATTCCTGTATCCTGTGATTTTACAGAGGCAAATGAACTTGAGATGAGACAAGCAAAACATTTTCCATATTTCAATAGATTTATTGCCACTTAAATGATTTGTGGTGAAAGCATTGTTGTACGGACAACCCAGAACAAAATGACACAGGCTGTTGTGCATAACATTACTTGTGCTATAAAATATAGGCCCACAATATTTTCAAGACAATACTGCAACTTACAGACCCTGCAAATACGAAAGACAGTAGGTGTTATGCTAACACATTTGAAATACCATGTTGCAAAAAACAACCTTATTTGATAACTTAAAGGTCTTTTATAATGAGTAGGCCCTTCTTATAAAGTTCCCTGATTCGATCAGCCTGGCACATAACACAGAAGTTTAAGTAACTAATTAAAAATAATCAAATAAACTATTTTGAACATCACTGGCTGTTGGCATACCACCCACAATACTTTGATGTGGACCTTTGAGCAAAAGAGAAAAAAGTTGCTGCCGGTAAATTAGAATAAGAAAAAAGTTACACACAAGCAGGGTTAAGCGACATCCTTGAAAATAAATTTAAAAGTGTTTAAAAAAAGTAGCCTTTTAGCCAATTTTTAAAAATTAATTTGTACTATAAATTATCCAGATAAAGTGGTTAAAGAATATAAAGACACAGGATCAGAATCATTGTAACATACCCTAATCTAAAATTGTATATTCAAAAGGTACTGTGTTCTTCAACAAAATTACATTTCTAAGTACTTTCTGCCCATCTTTGTGTTATTCAAATTAACTAAATCCTAAAATGAGTCTCATAATTTTCAAGAAAGTCATTTTAAAATTACTCTTAAAACTTCCAATAGTTCCAGAAGTTTAGCCAGTCATTTTAGAATGATAAAATACCTCCTGAATTAATCATAGGCTATGAAGTCTTTCACAGAAGTGTTGTTTTTCTGTTCAGATAAACTATGAAGAAGAGCAGGGACCACTGATCTTCAATATGGGAACTAGAAGTGAAATGTGGTAAGGAGATGGCCAAAAGGAAAATGATGTACTGTTTGAGCTCAAAAAGGATAATCAAATAGTACAGAAACTTTGGAAATAAGTGAGAAAAACAACCATTACAAACTTTAGAGTCTTTGAATCGTTTCATTTCCTCAGTCCTCTTATTCACCTTACTAAAATCCCATACTTACTAGTGAGGCAGTAAGCAACAAACTAAGGCTAAGGATCAAATGTGTGTGAAAACATAAGAATGGTTCATACAATAAGAGAACCTCATTGAACCCTTTACTGAAGAAATTAGCTTGTTCTACATTCTCACAACCCTTTGTGTTCAAAAATGCCTTTTCTGGCTCTTAAAGGGGAACTGCAGTCCCAATTCCTTATTAAATCTTGGTAACAAAATTAATTCATATACGTTATAGAAAAAATTTATAAATTGAGAATTAGGCATAAAATCGTTAACTTTGTGAAAGTACTGCAAGTCTCCATGTTGGGCAAACTGGCAGTTGACTTCCCACAAATGACGACGTGAATCAGCCCTTCTTGCTCACTAGTCACTGTAATGATTAATGCAATGTACGAGCAAATAAAAGACAGCAGACATTTCACCACAGAAACGTTTCAACATGATTTGCATGCAACGTTAACAAGCAGGTAGTATTTATTGGCTAAAGTGTATCAAAATTGAAAGCAATATTTCTATGGGATTAAAAGAGCTGCATTCACAAGCATGCCTGTTTGCAATGTCATAAGGCCGCACACATCATCTGACTGTTTACGTTACTGTATACATTACTTTTACTGTGGTTTGAAAGGCACTCATCAATGGTGATTCTTTCTAACCCCAAAATATAAAAATAGTGTTGCAGTTCCCCTTTAAATGCTCTCTCTTAGTTTCTACCCGTTTCCTTTGGTCAGTGTTTCACTCTTGATCCTGAGAAAGCCCAGTGGGTTGTCTTTGTCAGTACTTTTGAAGACACTATAAGTGGCAGAAACACCTAACAGATGGGAACAGACTGCCACATAAATTCCCCTCAATGGCCAAGCCTGGAGGCCCATAGGTACTGAGTGAACATTAAGGAGAAAACTTTCCTTGGGTTTGAAGGGAAGTGTCACCAGTGTAATTGTCCCAGATCCAAGACGGAAACAAAAGGGAAAGGCCTTAAGCAAGGAGAGAGAGAAATAGTGGTAAAGCCTGTTTTGGCTTTTGAATTTGTGTTTTAAGAAACTGGACTTTTTTTTTTTAGAAAGCAGGCAAGCAGATTAGCTGCCTGACAACCAGAAAGTGACTCTGAAGAGTTTAGTTTCAGATCCCAGCAAGGAGCTAGGCTTTTGTTTTAACAAAATCAAACTGGATGTCTTTTAAACGATTTTCCTAAACAATGTGAATTATCAAAGAAGCATAAACAAAGGGTACCACAAAATTAAAATGAACTTTTTTCCTGATTTAAGTTTTGGGGAAAAAAATATCCTTGGGCAGGTGACCAAAAATGTAATATATATATATATAATCATTAAGAAGGGATTTACACAGAAATTAATCGAAACATACCACATTCATAAATGTAACTAAATGTATGGTTTCTGAAAACTTGAATTCAGATTTATCTTCCCTATTCATGATCATTTTCAGTCCACAAGTTAGCAGCGCTACATCATTGAACCTGTATACTGGATAATAAATTTTAATTTAGGTTTTTTTTTAAAGGCTTAAAATGAAAAGATTCAGTTTTCATTTTTAGGTTGGTTAGCACCGTATTACACATAGTATTTATCCATTACAAACACTTTATTTTTTATTTATACCATTCCAGTCAAGGACAAACAACAATTTTCAATGTATTTTGTCAGTAAAAAAAATTGGTCCTACTGTTTTCTGGTTGTTTCTTCCTGAGATCTCTCAGAATAAATTGTAGCAGCGGACATTGCTAGCTCGTTCAGGAAAGTACCTTGAAATCATGGGCAGACAGCATGAATATAGGGTGTATGAATTTTAAAATAAATTATAGCATTGAAAAAGCTGCCTTCTGTACCATGACTAAAGACAAAAAAACAGTAATAACAACCTCTTTTCACAGAAACAAGCCCTTGTTGCCCTTACACCCTTACAGATGTAAAAAAAATAAGTAGGCAAAATAGTTTGTAATATGTGCTTATAATCATGATAATAAATAAATATTTACAAAAATATGTTGAAATATGTTCAGGCACTTTTTAACATGTTGAACTTTACTACCCTCTTTCAGTTCTAGAGGTTTCATATTTTTTTAACACAAGTGCATTTTAATACATATGGGAAATCGCAGTCTCTGAGATTAAATGTGTACTGTGGTAGTATTATAAATATCATCTGGAAATAGTTAATTATTAGAATGATTAATTGTTAATAACAAAATGAAGTACTGAAAGATTTAGGAGCCGAGATGAAAGACCTGCAAGACGTAAGGCTTAAAAAGACATAGACTATGTACATACATATATTTGAAGGTCAAGTGTTGTCAAACAGTGTTTTTACATTATTTGGCCAAGTGCATAGGTTTTCAAATGGTTTTGTATATAGAAACAGTTCTTCAAACACCACTTTTAGTCTGTATTCATACAGAAAAATACTGTACAAACGTCAAGGGAAGAGAGAAAACATACTAAATTAGTCATTTTGTGCTGTATGAGATCAGAAATGATGTCCTTAAAAACAAACACTGACAGCTTGGGTGCCTCTGCAAGAAATTAACAGATTCCTATTTCCTACATCCTCCAGGGTTCCTGCAAAGACACTGTAACTAATCAAGTCTGGAAGGCTGGAGCAGCATAGAAAAACCATTGCTTTGTGTTTCATTGGATGGACCAGAATAAATGCTAAACAGACTGAATTAAAAAGAATTTAGAGGCCAATTTAACACACAACTGACACAGTTAAGAGCATTAAGGGCATAAGAATGCACCTTCTCTCTCAACTGGGACTGTCTGATTTGTAACATTCTCAGTACAACAGGTTTTAAAAGATAGATATTTTTATAGCAAACTAAAATATTTTTAGGAAGTCCACTTTTCAGCTTGGTGCAGCATTTATTGGCATCCAAACCCACTGAATGCAGTTTTCAGAAACTGTATGTGTTGGCCTGGGTCAGTAGGTGGGGTTTCAAGTACAAGTAAAGAAATTCTGACAATTTTGAGCAATATGTTTGCATACTTGTATTTAAGATTATATTAAGAAATGTTTTTGTTTTGTTTGCTTTGTGAAACAGTACCGAAAACAATCTCTACTGCCTTGGATTCTTTGCTTTTTGAGTTTCCAGAACTATTAGTCTGTCTCATACATATACTTTCTGAGCTAGCCTGAGCATGACCTTCTGAAGATGTTTACAGAACAGTTCAGATTGTCACCCCTGCTTTTACTCAGGGAAGTCCTTAAAGAAATCACACACAGCACTAAACCGTGATATCTGTGTAAAAATGACCATCCTGTAGACATTTACTAAAACAAATGATGGTATACTTTCTCTAAAAAATATTTTATACCGTGGACTTTAAATATTTCACACTCTAGTTAAAATGAATGATCATGCATGTAAAAATTGTACATTTTTACACTTTAACACCACAAAATGTATGATGATTATACTACAGATTAATGTAACCACAATTACATTTGCTTTCAATAGAAGATGCAAAAAATAATCCTTAGAAAGTATGTCTACCAGGCCATATTTCTATCTAAAATAAGTTACACACAAGCTGTGTTTTTTTTCTTTTTTCTCCACACCAACCTCATGCTAGCAATGGCACTAATACAGTACAGTCACTAGCTTGCTCCAAAAGGTTGTGTGAAACCCTCCCATATGGATAGAAATATATGCATTTCCATATAAAAATAGAGAGAACTGTTCTAACAAACTTTAGATCAAATTTCCTACAAAAATATAAAAAACAACTTTCTTCATTCTAGAATTATTGACTAGGTACTACAACAGTATTGGTTGGCTTATTATTTCAGATTGTATTAGCACATGCACATTCACCCAAATGATTGCAGTCACCAAGAAACAATCGCTACCCAAATACTGCAGGTTTGAATGCTTGTAACCAGGATAATGCCTTCTGAATTCCACGGACTTCTAATATTTGATAATGTGAAACCAAGCTTAACGAAACAAGATGGGAAGAAATTCTAATTTTAAGTAAGAACACTGGATACAAACGCTAACTTGGGTAGACATCTACGGTCACACACACATACACACAAATACAAGAAAAGGTGGTGTAAACTTAAGGGGCAACAAAATTTCACTGACATCACATAAATCGGACAAACTGGAAGAGATGCATCCCATTTTAAAAAAAATAGAAAGACAGCAAAGCGCTCCAACAACACTTGACCTTTCCAAAAAGTCAGGCCCATCAGTTGGCATTTTACTGTGCTGATCACCTGGTTCCATTCTCCTGTCAGAACTTCAGATCCTTTTGGTCAAATACGATGTGGTTGGTTAAATAAATTGAGATAAAGCCGAAGATGGTGGAAGAGGCTATGTACGCCGTCACTGACTCAGTAAACTGGACTATCATGCCCATGAAGAGAGAGGGAAAGACCTGAGAGAGTAGGAAAGTGCTGTCCAAAATTGCAAAGTCCAGCCCCACGCCACGCTTCCCATAATCCTCCTGTTTCCCTTCTTCCCCGTTGCTAAGGCCTGTGCCATGGCCAAGTGTGGCCTCGCTGGAGAAGCTGGGACTTGGGGCGGAACCATTACAAGCAGTGTAGTAGCTGGCACTGTCTGGTCTGAAGCAGTGGTGCGTGTTCTCTGGGTGGTTCATGGTGCATTCCTCTTCTGGCGCGAGATACACAGACTCCCGCGTGATTGTGATTCCATTATTCTGCAGATTTTTGGTTTTTGCTTTTGGCATGTAAACCTGAAAGGCCAACACAAAGGGAGAGAAAAAATTAGGTTGTATAAGTATATAGACTTATACAACAACAGTTTGTTTAGTAAAATACACACACAGGCAGGTGTAAGAGAACAAAATGCCCTTCAAAACAGGGTATGTATATTACAGGGTTTGGATGTTAAAGTCAATTTACATCATTTTACTGTACAGAGAATTCTCAAGCATTTCATATTTTACTATCTAAAGGCACTTAATAGATACGCAAGCGCAGGATGTTGACTCTTTTAATACGAAACATAAACATGGGCATTTACCTTTTTACATCACTGGTACAGTTTGTTCTGCTTATAAAATCCAAGGTTTTTTATAACACTGGTACCGCTCAACAACAATTTCCCACAGCTCTCTGCAGGGCTCAATGCTAACACAATAATGTATAATACATTTTAAGTAATACAGCATTTTCCCCCTGAGCCATGCATTTTGGTGAATTGCACTGTCGTAAGTAAAATACGTTTAATTCTGTTCCATTGTCTTGCTTGACCTGGATGAACACAACTTCTGAAGGGAGTCCCTGCTTGTCCAAGCCAGCCCACTTATACAGTGCAATAAATACTTACAAAAAACAGGTTTCCAGGTTGAGACCCAGGACAACGTGTTAATGTGACAGTAGCTTTATTTCTTACTTGATTTGACTCCTTTATCTGCCTGAACTTATCAGACGTTAAGCAAGCAAATCACCATAAAGCTGTTGTTTTCACATGAAAAACTTGACATTCATTTGAATGTTAAAGCTACCAGTTTCTGGGAGCAAGTGTGGATTGCTCTGTAATAATACAGTAATTAACATTATTCATTAAAGGACAGATAAATATGACTTTGCTGTGTTTCAATGACAGTGCCACATTTTTAGGATTGTTTTAAGGACTGAATGAATGAATGACATCTCTCACTGAATGACATCTTTTGTTACTATTGCATAGATGGAGAGAAGGAGAGAACACTTACTTCCTTTTCCTTGTGGTAGTGGCAGGTCAGCGTGTAAGGTAAAGTCTGTAAAGTGGCGTAGGCGAATCCTGTGAGGGCAGACATCATGGTAACCAGTACGATGCTCTTCGAGAGGCAGATTACTAGTGCAGACAAGGTGAAGCTCACCATGCTGGTCAAATAGACCCTCCTGGAGCCAAACAGTTTAACCAGCTTACTCATCACCAGTGAGAAAAACGTTGAGGTAGCACATTGCAGGAAAAGTCCAAGACTCCCCATCCGAATGCCTGCAGGGGGTAAAACAGTACTAAGCATGAAAATTGAGGACAGACTGTGGTGGGGACAGGTACTTAAAAAAACAATCCATTACAGCTGAATGTACCAGTGTAAAGGATTAAGTTTTTAAAGTAAATTAAGAAGCTTTAAAACAATGTATTTACTTTACAGGGTGGCAGGGTGGTACAGTGGTTGCCACTGCTGCCTCACAGCACCAGGGCCCTGGGTTCAATTCCTGGGGTGATGTCTGTGTGCAGTTTGTATATTCTCCCTGAGTTTGTGTGGGTTCCCTCCCACACTCCAAAACCATAAGGGTAGGTTAAATGGGAATACTGGGAAAACTGGCCCTGCTATGAGTCTGATGGACTAGTGCCCCATCCAGGGCGTAACCTGCCTTGCAGCTATTGCTTACTGAGATAGGCTCCAGCTCCTTTGCAGCCCTGTATTGGATACAGCTGTTGGAAAATGGATGGTCGAATTATTTTACACACTACATAGATCGCTCTAACTGATGATGTTTTAAAATCCTTTACCCAAGTAGCATGGAGATGTAATAGGTTACTTAGAAGTACCCTTTCACAAAACCATGCACACATACAGTACATGATGGGAGGAACTCTAGGAAGATGCCTCCAAAATGTAGCACAATGGTACTGTAGATCAATTGAGATTAACATTTACATTCTGTCTCTCAGAAAGTGCAGACTGTTGTGTTCAACTCAAGGACAGTTCAACTCAAGGACAGAGATATTCATAGATATCTAACGTGAAAAAGATATGAGGCTCCCTTTCACGTCTTTTTCCCTGTTCATTTTCTTCTGTTCTTTCGCACATAATTAGAGTGCTTTGAATATATTGCCGCCTTTCGTTAAATATATACAATAACACATTAAATCTGTTCTTTTGCCGTGGGAAAGAGAGAGGAGTTTTTTAGTGCTCCCCTTTGTGTCCTGTCCTTTTGTTAACTAGTCTAGTGAAAAAAGCACGTTAAGGAGAAAGCTAGGAGTCCAAATCAGAATACTGAAAAACAAGTCAAAATCGGGTTATTCCTCACACCTAAAAGGGACGATTCTTAGCATGTAAAAAATAAGGCATGTTGATACAGTGGGTTTGGACTCAAGGGTTAAACAAAGTTCAAATGTTCTCTTTATCCATTCTACATCCCTAAAGTTTTTAGGCGTTGAAGAGCGATACGAGTTAAACCTGCCATTAACCTGCCATACACTAATTTTCCAAGCATCCTGCAAACGTCAGGAGAGATTTGTGTTACAGTAGATGGTATCTCCATTGTATGGGTGTATGTGTGGAACAGGATTTTCCCAGCTATAGATACTGTACTGTATGTCGCCAAGGAGAACTGCCAAGTTTTTCTTCAGGAAAACTAGAGAAAAGGCTGAAAGGCTTTGATCGAAAAAGTTCTACAGAAATGAAGTGTCTTGTAACCCAAGCTTACTTAGATAATGATTCTAGGCATCCTCATACTCTTAGATACAGTACTTACACAGCCCCTTAACGCATTATATTGTATTACAATACAGAAAGAAACTCGTTGAACAGGAATGATGTCATTTCACACAATAATTTTGGCAGTGTGGAAGAGAATGGATACTTCCTTAGATCTCAAAGGTTTTGGGGGATGTTTGCATGGATTTTCACCAGGAACTCCAGTTTCCTCCCATCTCCCAAAGGCATGCAAGTTCAGTTTGAGCACTAAATTGTCCCCTTGCAAGCTGAGGGTTTCAAGGGGATTTCAAACTCTGGAGATTTTTTACCAATAAAACCAGCACTGGTTATGGCACTCTAAAGAAAAGTTAGGTGGGCTGAATGGCTGAATTTTTGTGAATGTTATGATGCACCGTTATGAAGTGCACAATGTTGTGAGCTCTTAGCAATGTAAAAGAAGTCACTCACCATTCAAAACTACTTTCAACTTGCAATGAATCAACGAGACTTGGAAACTAGAGACTTTTCAGAAAAAGTGAGCAACTCAGATGACTACTGTGACAAGTTAAGTGATGAAACGCTGCTTTCATTTTATGATGACCATGCACATACACAAGACCTGTTCAACTCAAAAAGGAGAAGCACCCCAGTCTGTGATCAGACTTAGAAAGCAACTATCAGGTGCCAACAGCACCTCTAAAAACTATTAACTCGAGTGCCTAGTTATGGTGGTGTGCGCACTGAAGAATATTAACTTAATAAAGTACCGAACATACTAACAATTCAAGAAAGATCTGTTACTGACCAATTGCTGAAAATTCTCGAGTTCTTAAGCCCACCCAAGTTCACACTTTCCATCAGCAGACCCACACAGAACTTTCCGACGGCAGCCCAGAAGTTGCAAGGCACTGGGTTATTTCACGCAGCAGAGACGAGAGCCGGGGGACCCTACCTTCATCGTAGCGCAGCCTTGATGCTGTGCCCGGGGCAGCGCTGGGCACCCCCTGATAAAGGCCTTCGCCCACAAAGTCTGTGTAGAAGAGCATGAAAGACATGACGGCCATCCAGCTGCACAGCTGAGCCACACACAGCTGTCTCATGACCCGCGGGACGTGGCAGTAGCTGCGGTAGATGGCAGGGGTCATCGACCAACATGTCCGCACCAGGCACATCAGAGGCCCTGACTTTGAGATCCTGAACTTGTACTTGAGCAGGTAGCAGCAGGAGCGGGGGACACATCTGGCGCCCTCCAAGGGCTTCGTTTCCAGCACGGGGCATTGGGGAGGGTAGCCGGGCTCCTCCGACATCTTCATGGTGACAAGGACACTTACGATAAAGATGCCAGTGAGCAGGGCGAAGAGGCACTCCTCCTGGCCGCCGAGGTAGACAGAGAGGTAGCTCTCACTCCAGTCCAGGGCTGGCAGCAGATACCCAACGCAGCCGCCCAGGCTGACCATGAAGGAGAACATGGCGAAGGCCTGGCCGCAGGTCTCCTCGTCGTGGTACAGGTCCGAGAGCAGGGCTTCCAGGGGGGTGAAGCAGACCTGGCCGCAGAAGTCCAGCAGAGCCACGCCCAGGATGAGGAAGGCCACCTGCAGGGCCCGGCCGCCCCAGCCGATGAAGGACGCGAAGACATCGGCGTGGGGGATGATGAAGAGGGCCAGCAGCACTCCCAGCGACAGCAGCCAGATGAAGGGCCGCCTCCGGCCGTAACGGCTGGAGCAGTGGTCGCTGGCCGAGCCAATCAGAGGTATGAACAGGAGCCCCAAGACGGGTCCGATTCCTGCAAAAACAAAGAGGAGGAGAAGAGTGTGGTCATGCTCACTTATTCGCTACGTAATATCGCTATTACAAGCTTTTAGGACTGACTTATTAGCAGTTTCTTGAGCATTTTAATATATTCTTACAACTGTGGGGGGTTATGCCATCAGAGAAAATCAAAAACTGACCGATTGTCAATAAGTAAAATAAATAATCATAACCCCCAACTTGTAAATGATTTTGCCGAGAATAAACCAGAGTGGTTTAATTAGAAGCACATGGATTCTTTGTTCTTTGGCACAGTTTTGGTGAACAAAGTCATAATTCAGGCACACTTGGTTGAACAAATATTTATTAACATTGACAATACACTCACTATACTACACACTACATAAACATGCAACGCACGAGTTTCCCTGTGCACAGTACAAGTTTACAGTCAAGTCCTCCCAGAGGCCTAACATCCTAACCTAGCAGAAAAACCCCAGACTCTAACCAAGTATTCAACTCTTAGTGTTTACAAACGCCAGAATAAAAGATGATTAAAGATCAGCTGCCTTCCAAACTAAATAGAACACAATCTGTGGTTAAATCTCTCTCTCGGAAAACCCAAATGCAACAAAATAAATGGGAACCTATCTCCGTTTTGAAATTCTCACACAAACCAGGAAAGGCCATTTTTAACTGAGGGATGCTTTACTCGGAGTTCTAAAAATCAAACATGATATGGAGAACATCAGTAACATTAGGGGCCCATATCTGCATTGAAGATCATCACTCAATACTATTAAGTACTGATTAGCATTCACCTTGCCTCCTAAGGGAATTAGTGCTCCCAAACCAAAATGCGCCTCACAATACTGCGGAACCAACAGAACCCTTCAATGCTGGAACCTAGCATTCAGATCTGTAGAGGTTTTTAGGTGAGCACCACACATGCACTCAAGAATGTCAGATTTGTCAAGAACGTGATGAAACCTTCAAAGTTGCCGTCTATAAGCGATACCCCAGCAATTTGAGAGTGCTTGAGCAAATCTGTGAAAATAAATGGGCAAAATCTACACGAAGCCAGTGTGTTAAGGCGGTAGAGACAAAAAGGTTTGTCAGTCTGTAACTGCCAAATATGCTTTCAACAAATACTCATCGGTTAATGCAATCAGTGCATTTTAATTTGGTCTTTTTAGATTTTGCTGACATTTACTGCAATTTACAGTATCATACACTCCTTAGAAGCCTTCAAATAAAAGTTTAGAAAATGTGTATGGAAAGTTTTTAAATTTCACAAAATGGGACACCACAGGCAGGGACTGAATACTTCTGGGAAGTTTTGTAAAAAAAGTAGACATTCTTGACTTATATACAGTATATAACACATACAGTGATATGTGCTCTATACTTCAACACTAGTTTTTCTTTCTTTATAGTATTCAAGCAGTAGATGCAGAAAAAATCTCAGGTTCCTCCAGAAAGAATGTAACCATTTACCTTGTGCGAGGTCGGCATAGTCAGGCAAGATTAGGGCTTTAGCCTGAATTACATTACTTATCAGTCACCTGACCAGTAGCTGGAAGGTAACAGGTCAGGCGATGCTTTAAAAACCAGAGAAAGAGGAGAGAGAGAAAAAAGTACCCTGTGTGGAACTGTAGAAGGATTCTGTGTGGAGCCAGAAGTCTGTGCGATACAAGACTCTTTGTGGGGGGGAATAGAGGATCATCTTGTGTGGAACCATAAAGTCTGTTTGATGTTTGAATTGAGTTTAAGAGTTTCCATTGTGAAACCGGCAAAGCAGTCAGAGCTGCCTGGTAATGATACGGAGAGACATGAAGAAACTAGCCAGAAGCTGAACGAGAAGAAATGCTTTGTTTTGGTTCTGGTTTTGTGTTACTGCAGTGTAAATAAAGAGCCCTGTTTGTACCTTGTGATTACATTTCTCTCTGCTCTCCTGGGACCTGGCTATAAAAAACACATCACACTGGGAAAGCACTATATAAGATCCTCTCTTGCCAACACTTGACAAAAGGTGAGTTGTCTAATTAAACCGTCATCAAATTGATCAAAAGGGCTGTCAATGGGCCTTTCCAGAAAACAAAAAAAAAACTCTGACCCATTTTTTCCACTCTGTCTAACCTTAACTGAAGGAATAATAGCTCCTTACATTTTGGTTTCATGTGCGTCTTAAGCAAGGAATATCATCAAAAGTAACTCCTGATAAACCGACACAAGATGTCTTTTAACAACGTGAGCCCAGCTCCTTCAGAAGGCTGTGTAAAACAGCACACACCAGAAGCAGATGGCCACTTGGAGTATCTGCTCCATTAGGGTTCTTTCATCAGCGATGACTTGAAATAATTTGCAATTATCTTTTGCGGCTTGTAACCTTTCCACACATCTTCATAAGGCGGCTCCTGGCTGCCGCTGCCTCCACCACGACGAGTCTCAAAACGGAGCCGAGCGCTTGGAAATCCACCACAGGTTTGGAAAGACAGCCTAAGATTGTTCATACAAGCAGAGTCCGATATACAATTTTAGCTACAGCTGTCGTTATTTATACTTTGCAGACTAGAAAAAAGGGAAAATTAAGTCTTGAAAGAGGTAAGGGATAATAACATCTGGAATTGTGACGGCATCCAGAAGCCCAACATTGTTTTTCCTGTTATAATTTCTACAACCTCACTACTCACATGAATCCCCACTGCCATTTAGACACAATCCTGCAAGAACGAATAGCAGTGAAATGTCACCAACCACTGGAATGACAAAAATGAAATGTCTACCTGGAGCAAAGCAGAAACTGTCAAGAAAACCTTAAGTCCAACCAAGGCCGCTACTGTAGAATCTCCTGACCGTTTATGAAGTAAAACTGCACATTTTGCTCTCGGTTCTCAACAGGAAGTCACGTCATTATTGCACTCCTAGTAAGTTTACATTCATTTATACAAAGCAAAAACTAGCCAACTTTCAAAACTGACACTCCATTTTCTAACTGCTTCATCCAATTTAGGTTCGAGGAGGAGCAGGACTGCAAGCAGCGAGCACAAGGAAGGATACACTCCTGATGGGATGCCAGTCCATCGCAGGCACACAGACAAACAGACATGCACAGGGCCCATTTTCCCAGAAGCCAATCAACCTAGCATTATGTTCTCAGACTGAGGGAGGAACCCAGAGCACCTGGAGGAAACCCAAGTGAACAGTAGAAGAACATACAAACTCCACGCAGACAGCAGCCCAGGTCCCAAATTCCTCAAGTTTATTCTAAAAATACTGCTTATAATCTTAAATCCACATTCTAAATGAGTTCTCCATTTCTAGCAAACATACACAGAATGATAAAATGCAGGGAATTTAACAATATTATTTAGTCCCCTTCAATTTTCTTTGCATTTCTGTACCGATTCATACAGGCACATGTAATCCTTTACTTGAATACAATTACAAAATACCAAAATATCTCTTTCATAAACGCAACACGACATGATAGAACTGCATGCATAATCGTTTCTAATTATTTATACATCATTTACATTATAGGAACATGATTTCCCATTCGATTACAGAAGGGCTCATGAGAGACCTACAGTACCTTCAGTCACAAGATAAGAGCAGAGATTCCAGGTTGAGAGAAGTCAGGTAAAAATGATGAAAGAGACACTTATGTTTTGTCCTTGAGAGCTAACAAGGACTTTCTATTGATGGAGTTCAGCCCTTTTCACAAATTTATCTTATTATATGGTTATAATGCATCTTATTTTATCAGGTGGTATACTATTTACAGATGAGATGTGACTGTATTCTTTTAGTCTCATTCAAGTACAGCCGTACCAAGCAATGTTATAACAATAACAAATATTAAGCTTAAAAGCCAGAATTGGCTTTTTCTTAAAAGAAATGAATTTTGTAATGCAGTACCGAAAAACGTAATGTCAGTCAAGTTTCAATCGTATTTTTCCGAGCCACATTCAAAGCAAAAATGGAGCAACATCATTAAAAACAACCCCGAGATGACTGAGAATTATCAATTTTCAATTTTACAGTACATACTAATAAAATGGAGGAAAAAAAGCTTATTTTTTTAAAACGGCACAAAAGGAAATCTTTGCGAATCAATGAAGAAAAATATATATTCGGGTATTCTGGTTCCCCCCGAAGGCCTTTTTCATATTTAATGAACTCCCCCTCATTTTGCACCGTGTAACGAGAGCTTACCTAAGACCATGGTCATATACTGCTCCTCAACTCCAGCTTCCAGCAGTAATGGAGGGACATATGTAATTCCAGCTGCCACACAGATCTCGAGGCCACAGGTCAGAAAATTTAGCAAGACGAGATGCCACTGCAAATTGCATCGAAGCATATTTAGAACGTTCTTTTGCTGGCAGCTATTACTGGGGGTTCTGAACACCATATGGTGCTCTCAGCGTTCCGGTGCTCTCTGGCCGAGACCTTAGGAAAGCAGGGACCTCTTCTGAACATCCCGGGAGCTCCATCCTTCAGGAGGCATGCTGGTTTTGGAAAGACACAGAAAGGCAAGAAGTTATTCAGAGGAAGGGGAGCAGTTCAATAGCTTCTGCGTGCGCCACCTACGGCAGGGGTTAAGGGAAGGATGTCAAAAAAAAAAATTTTCAGCACTGTGTGAGAATCAACTACCATGGATATCCCACTACCTGGGATATCCCACTATCCTTTACTACCTGTAATGTCACCCTCAGAAGTGGCTTTTTCCATTAAACGCTACTGCTTCTCGGTTAATAATAATTCCTTACACTTATACTGTATAGCGCTTTTCTGAACACTCCACTCAAAGTGGATTTAATTAATTAATTGCTTACACTTCTATAGCGCTTTTCTGGACACTCTAGTCAAAGGTCATGGGGACTCCCCTCCACCAGGAATGTGTAACCCCACCTGGATGTTGCGACTCATCACACAGCAGCTATCAATGGGGAGGAGAACAGAGTGATGAAACCAGAACGAAACCGATTAGAAGGTTGTTATGCTCTACTTTCAAATCAGAAGAGCAAAAGACCAGGATTATGAGACGAATGCAGGCTGTGAGTGAGCCTCCCCCTGCCCCCTGCCCAAGTACCCACTACCTAGCACGCGCATCTCAGTGCGGTCTTGTTTTTATATTGTACAGAACGCTCCAGGTTCTGGGTCAGCAGCATGTGGAATGACAGGCTGGAGACGACTTTACAGGCTCCCTGACAGTTTTATTGCCCTTTTCATTACAGTGCGGCGTGTTAATAACAGAGGCAGGGAGAGAAAGTGCAGGCTGGACACAGAAGAGGGATTCATGTTGTTTATTTAAAATGATTACTACCATATATGTTTGTGATCACTGTGGTTTGTTTTAGGGGATCAATGTTATTTCAGTTCACTTAGAGACAATACATTAGCACTTTAATTGTCATTAAAAGTACTTTAATGTCTTTTAACCTTAAATACTATATCCAGTAGTACATTATGTGATGCAATACTGGTGGATATATGCAAAATTTGCTATTTGCAACAGTCCTCTGCATCAAACACTAGCAAATGTTGAGACCCAGCTGTATTTGGATTAGTTTATTTTGCTCATGAACAGTCCTTCTCAAAGCCAAACTCATGCAAAAAGAATTTAGATAATGACGCCAGATTATGAATCACAGTGCAACCTTCATCATGTGTGCACTGTTATCTATAAAGTAAACAACAGTTGCCACCATATTGTCATATTTGTTTTAAGGCTTCCAAAAACTGAAACCTTACGATCTGAACGATTTTTTTTATCTGATCAAGATGCAGACAATGCAAGTCAACCAATTTAGCAGATTTAGCAGAGTAGACACCGAGCGTGTCAACCAAGATGGTGGCTTGACCAAAGTATTTGAAAAACCTTTCAATTTAATTTGGTAAAACTGCGTCAATTGAATTGAAACTTGGCAGATGTCATGCATTCCCCAGATGTCTATCTCACTACAATATTTATGGGCATGCCAGGTCAAGTTCTGGTCAGAATGCAGCACTCACCCCAAACCTGCTCTCTTCCCAACCCTGTTTAGCTAACCCTGTTTAGCTAACCCTGTTTAGCTAACAAACTCATAAACTTGGTTGTCATCAGTCTAATGACAGTAAAATTAACATGTGGTAAAAGTAGGCTCCTGCTCAAATCAAGATAGCAGCCTGAGTGTCAGTTTGTTCTGAAATTTCAAGGTGCCCCTGTTAAAAAAAAAAAGCTTAGGTATCAAACTCCAAATTCAACAAGCATCATGTCGTCCAACATAAGAACACTAGGCCTTTGAAACAGATGACACTCTAACGCACACTTTAAACTAATATTCAAAAACTGTCAAGATTAAACAAAACGGGTATAATCCAGTGGAAAATTACATTACAATATCGTACAATGGTGCACTACAAGCCTTTACCTTCCAAATCTGTGGATTGCAACATTTAGCGCACCACGTTTAATGCAGGTCATGGATTTTAAAAATACCCTTCAAACTTGCATAATTTAAAAAATGACTTCTTTGTCAAACTGAATATGATTAATTATACCACACTACAACAGCAATAACAGTCAACCTAACAAAATATTAAGATTTCCTTAATTGATCTTTGTGTATACAGATACATTGGTCACTATTTTCATTAATTAATATTACAAATGTCTCAGATCTGCTGCTCAATATCTGTGAAAGGTGGCACTGTAAGCCCATTTCAAACTGTCCTGGGAATCATGAAAACAGTCATCTGAAATAGTTCTATGTATTTGATCATCTAGGCCTTATCTGACTTGTAAGAATTACATCTGAACCAGGTTCATTATTTCTTCTGGAGGAAGAAATTTTGACACTTTGTCTGCTGCCATTTGTCAAGTGAACCAATTTGTTCCACTTGATTCAACTTCAAATTTAGATTCTTGCTCTTAAAAGGTTGGAAATTCACTGTATGTGCATAATTTTATATGCAATTTAAAATGGTCAAACTTCACATAGCCACAAATAACTTCGATTTAAATAAAGAACATTTTCTAATGACAAACTTTTATTTTATATTAAAAATATATTAAATATTAAAAATAGGTCAGTTAGTAAAAAAACAGCAGTCAACATATTCCAGGACAGAAAAAATGTTGTATAGTAAATATCAGTCATACCAAACACATTTAGGTTCCGCAATTTAAGACCAATGAAACAGGATAACCTCTTACAGTTTAAAGGCAAACAAAACCTTTTAAGTGTATAGAAAAATAGAATACCTGAGAAGACATAAGAATGGTAATAAGAGCCTATCAAGCTCATGTTGCTCCTAGGAACTAATTCCTAATAATTTAAGAACATCATCTAGCAGCATCCTAAAATAAACCAGGGTATCAGGTTCAATAACAAGGCTTGTTCCAGACTCCCCCAACCCTTTGTGTAAAAAAAGGGCCTCCTGATTTCCAAACGTTTCCATTTTTGACCTCAGATTTAATTAATTCTAAGTACATCCACTGTATCGGCTTTATACATCTTGAGGATTCTGAATGCTTAAATCAGGTCTCATTATAGTCTTCGCTGTAGCAAAATAAAAAGGTTTAGTTTTTCTAGTCTGTCTGTGTTGGGACATTTCAAAGCCTAGAAATTTATCTCAAACTGCTCCTCTGGACTGAATACAGAGCAGCATGATGTTTTTGTAGCATAATGATCAAAACTTTACTGTACACGTACTGTACTGCTGGAGGGTTAAAGTTCCTGTTACACTGGCAGCACAGGGACATATACTGTACTGCTGGAGGGTTAAAGTTCCTGTTACACTGGCAGCATGGGGATGCATACTGTACTGCTAGAGGGTTTTTTACATCAAGACGTGTAGCAGAGAAATGTACTGTAGCAACAGATGTCCCAGGACTTGATCAATGTGTAGCACCATGTAATCAAGTTGCATCAATTACTGCAAGGGGAGCAAAAAGATACTGCAGACAAGACCATCACACTGGATACCAGGAGTTATGGTCTCCCAGATTATGGCCAAATCATTAAAGCACACTATTCGGCTTAATTATCTTTTAAATTATAGGTTGCGAACACCCCAAATGTTGAAGAACCAACTTAATCCACCCAACAACGTAATGAAACAAAAGCATTAGTCTCTTCATTAGCAGTACATACCGGTCCCTTCCTGCGACTTTTTCCTTCCTGACATTTACTTGGCTTGTCTAGAAAATGTAAATAAAAAAAACATTTTTCAGAAGTAACAGTCAACAGGTTAATTCATCCCATCACTTGGGTGCAATCATCCTCTAATTAATGAGGCGATTTAGTGCTTATATAACAGTCAAAGTCAGTGTCACAGTCTTGTAAGATCAATTCATCACAAATTAAAAAAAATATTTGTTAAATATTCTGCACTTTTACATAAGATGTTGTTTGTAAAGTGTATATACAAAATATACTTTGAAGTATATTAGAATTTTTTTCCTGCTTGTAGCATTTGTAATTCCTCCTACTTTAGAATCATCTCTTATACCAGAAAATCATGGCTTTACTTTAGGAAGAGCAATAGTTTCACTGAAAACAGAAGAATATTGTACCGGCCTGAAATCCACATTGCCTAATTACAACACGTGCTTTCTTCACCCCATAGAAGAACTGTTGGTTCTTCTACAATAAGAGACAACCCACCCGTCATATCAGTACCAACAATGAAAAGTTTTGCTTCAACCTAACAAAAGGAAAGGGCTATGGTTGATGTGTTATTGAATCAATGTCCTGGTATTCAATGCAAAGCAACAAAGTTTAAATGAAGGCTGTTTGTTGCAGGAACAGCCAAGTATTGATTAGCTTGACAGGGTAAGCAGAAGTGCATTCATGCTGGTTCAGTGATGAACACTGGAATCTAGAACTCACCAATAACATTGACTTGCAGCTTTCAAATTTACACAGAGCACAGTATGTACAGTCTTGAAAAGCCATCATAAAGAAAGTTACATTGACAGACACTACAAGCTGAAAACGAAGTTAGACTTTGTCTAGGCGAACAATTTGATAGTCATTTCTTATTTTATTTCAGCTGAAACCAACCCGTTCCATCAGACTTCGCCCACACCACAGCAACAGGTGTGGTGATGCTATACTGATGCTATTTTTCTATTATTAAACCAAGGCGGTTAAAGAACAAGGTAATGTCATCATGTTTGGTAAGCTAAATTGGTAGGCTTTCCTGGCAGGAGAAGAAAAGATAGTTATATTACTATTTTGAAATAAATCTATTTCAAGACAACACTGAATTTTTAGAAGAAAGCAAGAGAAGTCTTTGAAAACTGAACTGAATCAGCGGGCAGATACAATGGCTCATTATCTTTCAAAAAGCTTTTGGCACTGCCCAAGTTAACACAAAAGCTGTAACTACACTATACAACTATACAAATGGCTCCAAGTAGTTTTATATATTTCTGTTGAAGCATGTTTCATCAGAGTGACAAATGTAGAGCGGACCACAATGTAAAACAAGATAACTTCAAAAAATATCAAGAGGTGAA